TTTTATAAATTTTGTTTATCTGCTAAGTAAATTGTTTATACCCTTATTTATTTATTATATAATGGGTACTTGAATTGTTCATTATTACTATTATTGTTGTTTTGTTCTTTTATAAATTTTGTTTATCTGCTAAGTAAATTGTTTATACCCTTATTTATTTATTATATAATGGGTACTTGAATTGTTCATTATTACTATTATTGTTGTTTTGTTCTTTTATAAATTTTGTTTATCTGCTAAGTAAATTGTTTATACCCTTATTTATTTATTATATAATGGGTACTTGAATTGTTCATTATTACTATTATTGTTGTTTTGTTCTTTTATAAATTTTGTTTATCTGCTAAGTAAATTGTTTATACCCTTATTTATTTATTATATAATGGGTACTTGAATTGTTCATTATTACTATTATTGTTGTTTTGTTCTTTTATAAATTTTGTTTATCTGCTAAGTAAATTGTTTATACCCTTATTTATTTATTATATAATGGGTACTTGAATTGTTCATTATTACTATTATTGTTGTTTTGTTCTTTTATAAATTTTGTTTATCTGCTAAGTAAATTGTTTATACCCTTATTTATTTATTATATAATGGGTACTTGAATTGTTCATTATTACTATTATTGTTGTTTTGTTCTTTTATAAATTTTGTTTATCTGCTAAGTAAATTGTTTATACCCTTATTTATTTATTATATAATGGGTACTTGAATTGTTCATTATTACTATTATTGTTGTTTTGTTCTTTTATAAATTTTGTTTATCTGCTAAGTAAATTGTTTATACCCTTATTTATTTATTATATAATGGGTACTTGAATTGTTCATTATTACTATTATTGTTGTTTTGTTCTTTTATAAATTTTGTTTATCTGCTAAGTAAATTGTTTATACCCTTATTTATTTATTATATAATGGGTACTTGAATTGTTCATTATTACTATTATTGTTGTTTTGTTCTTTTATAAATTTTGTTTATCTGCTAAGTAAATTGTTTATACCCTTATTTATTTATTATATAATGGGTACTTGAATTGTTCATTATTACTATTATTGTTGTTTTGTTCTTTTATAAATTTTGTTTATCTGCTAAGTAAATTGTTTATACCCTTATTTATTTATTATATAATGGGTACTTGAATTGTTCATTATTACTATTATTGTTGTTTTGTTCTTTTATAAATTTTGTTTATCTGCTAAGTAAATTGTTTATACCCTTATTTATTTATTATATAATGGGTACTTGAATTGTTCATTATTACTATTATTGTTGTTTTGTTCTTTTATAAATTTTGTTTATCTGCTAAGTAAATTGTTTATACCCTTATTTATTTATTATATAATGGGTACTTGAATTGTTCATTATTACTATTATTGTTGTTTTGTTCTTTTATAAATTTTGTTTATCTGCTAAGTAAATTGTTTATACCCTTATTTATTTATTATATAATGGGTACTTGAATTGTTCATTATTACTATTATTGTTGTTTTGTTCTTTTATAAATTTTGTTTATCTGCTAAGTAAATTGTTTATACCCTTATTTATTTATTATATAATGGGTACTTGAATTGTTCATTATTACTATTATTGTTGTTTTGTTCTTTTATAAATTTTGTTTATCTGCTAAGTAAATTGTTTATACCCTTATTTATTTATTATATAATGGGTACTTGAATTGTTCATTATTACTATTATTGTTGTTTTGTTCTTTTATAAATTTTGTTTATCTGCTAAGTAAATTGTTTATACCCTTATTTATTTATTATATAATGGGTACTTGAATTGTTCATTATTACTATTATTGTTGTTTTGTTCTTTTATAAATTTTGTTTATCTGCTAAGTAAATTGTTTATACCCTTATTTATTTATTATATAATGGGTACTTGAATTGTTCATTATTACTATTATTGTTGTTTTGTTCTTTTATAAATTTTGTTTATCTGCTAAGTAAATTGTTTATACCCTTATTTATTTATTATATAATGGGTACTTGAATTGTTCATTATTACTATTATTGTTGTTTTGTTCTTTTATAAATTTTGTTTATCTGCTAAGTAAATTGTTTATACCCTTATTTATTTATTATATAATGGGTACTTGAATTGTTCATTATTACTATTATTGTTGTTTTGTTCTTTTATAAATTTTGTTTATCTGCTAAGTAAATTGTTTATACCCTTATTTATTTATTATATAATGGGTACTTGAATTGTTCATTATTACTATTATTGTTGTTTTGTTCTTTTATAAATTTTGTTTATCTGCTAAGTAAATTGTTTATACCCTTATTTATTTATTATATAATGGGTACTTGAATTGTTCATTATTACTATTATTGTTGTTTTGTTCTTTTATAAATTTTGTTTATCTGCTAAGTAAATTGTTTATACCCTTATTTATTTATTATATAATGGGTACTTGAATTGTTCATTATTACTATTATTGTTGTTTTGTTCTTTTATAAATTTTGTTTATCTGCTAAGTAAATTGTTTATACCCTTATTTATTTATTATATAATGGGTACTTGAATTGTTCATTATTACTATTATTGTTGTTTTGTTCTTTTATAAATTTTGTTTATCTGCTAAGTAAATTGTTTATACCCTTATTTATTTATTATATAATGGGTACTTGAATTGTTCATTATTACTATTATTGTTGTTTTGTTCTTTTATAAATTTTGTTTATCTGCTAAGTAAATTGTTTATACCCTTATTTATTTATTATATAATGGGTACTTGAATTGTTCATTATTACTATTATTGTTGTTTTGTTCTTTTATAAATTTTGTTTATCTGCTAAGTAAATTGTTTATACCCTTATTTATTTATTATATAATGGGTACTTGAATTGTTCATTATTACTATTATTGTTGTTTTGTTCTTTTATAAATTTTGTTTATCTGCTAAGTAAATTGTTTATACCCTTATTTATTTATTATATAATGGGTACTTGAATTGTTCATTATTACTATTATTGTTGTTTTGTTCTTTTATAAATTTTGTTTATCTGCTAAGTAAATTGTTTATACCCTTATTTATTTATTATATAATGGGTACTTGAATTGTTCATTATTACTATTATTGTTGTTTTGTTCTTTTATAAATTTTGTTTATCTGCTAAGTAAATTGTTTATACCCTTATTTATTTATTATATAATGGGTACTTGAATTGTTCATTATTACTATTATTGTTGTTTTGTTCTTTTATAAATTTTGTTTATCTGCTAAGTAAATTGTTTATACCCTTATTTATTTATTATATAATGGGTACTTGAATTGTTCATTATTACTATTATTGTTGTTTTGTTCTTTTATAAATTTTGTTTATCTGCTAAGTAAATTGTTTATACCCTTATTTATTTATTATATAATGGGTACTTGAATTGTTCATTATTACTATTATTGTTGTTTTGTTCTTTTATAAATTTTGTTTATCTGCTAAGTAAATTGTTTATACCCTTATTTATTTATTATATAATGTGTACTTGAGTGTACTATTGCTGTATGTTTAAAGTGAAGGAATATAATAAAAAATAAATTGTTTTGATATAAATACAGGGTGTTCGGCTACTCGTGTTACAAATTGTGCCAGTAGATTCTACATTCAAAATGGAACCAAAAAGTCCTAATTGATTACCGTCCGAATCTAAGCAGTTTTGAAATTATTTCACTTTTCCTTTTTAAGATTTCATGACCTTGATTCAAATAAACAATGATAACTCCGAAAGTAAAATGTTTTGGACAAATCCATTGATAGCAAGTCGACTAGCAACAGTATCAGCATGAGTATAGGCTCATCATTATCCTTTTATTCTTCCATTCAAATATGATAAATAAACTAATGCTACATAACAGTAATAAAAAACAAAAAACACAATAACACTTCTTTTTATTTATCCTCTTTTTTTTCTTTCTTTTTTAGAGGGAGCTATCTTTCTTATTTGAATTGCGATTTTGGTCATTGTAGTTTATTACCCTGCAATTTGTATTTTCTTTTATTTCATTTTTCCACTCTGACAGCCTCAAAAATTCCTGAAAAAAGAAAGAAATCTTGCACGCACAACTCTCATTCAAACACTAGCAAACATTCAATGGTATAACAATTTGGGAAAAGGCTTATATCTCATTATAATTTCCAATAAATTTGAGAAAGATGAAAATTTTATCATTACTATTATTGTTTGTTTTGTTCTTCTATCAATTTTTTTTTATCTGCTACTTAAACTGTTTATAACCTTGTGATTTATATTCTCTGTAAAAGAATCTTTGATCCGAATGTGTACATAAATTAATAAATGAATATTTCTGTTATGGAAGAGGACAAGAGGAGGGAAAAGAGGCGCCCCTCCGAAACATTAGAAGAGAACCGGCGGCAACACTGGGACGGTTGGCAACGCTGAGGGGTTGGTGTTGACGAGAGGGAAGAACAAAGAAACGGGACTAACGGGAGTACGCACGAAGAACTGCGCAGTTGTGGTTGGTTGGGACAACGGCGTTTTGTATTCTAGCGACTTTAATTAAATTACTTTATATCAAATTCTATTTATTTTTAATAATCCTTACATTTCTTTATTTGGAGACTTTTGGCGGGGTGGTTGTGTCGGAGTCACATTTGCCATGCAAATGGTACGACCCCCCGGGTAGTCGGTCGTTACGCCCAACTGTCAGATAGTAATTATTTTTTCATTTCATAAAAAAAAATTATAATTCTTTACATACTTAGATGAAAATTGTCTTTGCAATAAAACTAATTTGTATCCTATAAAATCCCACATTATTAGATCAACCGTTCTCCTTTCTTTCTTTTTTTATCAGATTTTTTCTTAAAAAAAAGTTCATTGATTAATCTTAGAAACTTGGTGATAATTTATTCATTGTAAAATGATTAAGATCAGTGAGTAATTGATAAGTTAATGAAGGTATTAAAAAAAAAAAAAAAAATAGAGAGAAATCCACAGGATTTATTCAAAATAAAATAAAATTTACAAAAAATGTAATTAGATGTTTAGTATTTTATTTTTTAACAGATTTAACAGCTTCTTTTTTAGCTTTGATCATTTGTACTAGATCTTTGTACCTCTTCATACAATCTTTTTTACTCCTTGTCGGTATGCAATCTGCAATTTTATCCCACCTCTCTTCCGTCGATGATGGGTACGTTTTCAACGCCTGTTCGAGCAGGCTTTGTTCTTCCGCAGTCCAAGGCGCCGCGTTCGTTTCGGGCTGGAGGTCGAATCGCTGCGAAGTCTCGGCCTCGACAGACGTCGGCATCTTCTTTTGTTTTTCAAAATTGTCGTAGGCCTTGTTGTTCGCGGCTTGTTTCAACATCGATTTTGAATCATCGTTCGTCTGGAGCTCCTTCGCCTTGGACAAAACCTCCCTCGCCGAGACGTCTTTCTGTTTATTTTTAGAATGTTGGTTTATAAAATTGGCGACGACGTCCCATCTCTGAGACGTCCCGGCTGGGAAAAGGTTGACCGCTTTTATAAGAAGCGTTATATCCGCTTGACTCCAATTGTGAGATTTATTGTTCACCTGACCATTCATCTGGAAAAAAAAAACATTAACATAAGATGGTGTGATGAATCTACAATCATTACCGATCCTTTGTTACCTAATCAGGCACGGATAGGCAAACCAAAATTAACGACCAAATTATAAATGTATTTATAGATATGAAATCCTAAGTATTTTAAGCTTGGATGAATAATTTACCTGTTTATTTCCTATTCCGGACATCATTTGCTGATGCTCCTTAATGACTCTCTGTTCGACTTCTTCAAATTTCGCCCGATAAACTTCATTGCCACCTTCTTTGAGCTTGTTGCTGAAGTCGTCGAGTTCGAGTGCGCTCATCATTTCGCAAAGCTTTTCGGAAAATTCCATGTATTTGACGAGATCATTTTCATTGGTGACGTAGTAACCGTTTTCCTTACAGAGATCTCTCAGCGTCTTTCTGGCTTTCTTCAAGGCACGTTTTTGAGCTTCTTTTTCCGCCTTGATCGCCTTCAGCCTCAGCGCTTCTTTCTCGGCGGCTTCTTCTTTTTCTTTGAGCTTGGCTTCTTCGGCTTCGCGCTGGGCGCGTTCGGCCTCTTCGACCCTGGCCCTCGCGGCATCCTGTTTGGCCTTTTTGGCAGCTTCTTTCTTCAACTTGTCTTCATTTTTGAACTTGACAATCCTAGGATCAGCATTGTAGGCCAAGTCGACGAGGTTCCGGATCCTCGCAAGTTCCTCTTTTTTCTTTTTACTCCTTACCGCTTTGTTCTGTTTTTCGATCCACCTCCTTTCCTCTCTGTCCTGCCCGCTCTCCTTGGCTTCTTCGTCTTCGTAAGAGTATTCTCGCCATGAGTCGAAATCGTACCAAAACGAGTAAAACCTATTCACCGCCTCCCTCGAAGCGTCCGCATCGCCTAGCTCCGGCACGGGAGTCTTTTCCGACCAGCGGGAATTCCTGTCGAAATAAGCTTTGAATAATTTGTAAAAATCTTTTTTGGCTATTTCGGAATTAGAAGGGAGGGCGTCGTCAAAATAAGGATCGACAGAATCGTACGCCCTCCTTTTCGTCTTGTCGCCAAGGATTTCCCAGGCTTTCGTTATACACGTGAAATAGTCCTCGTCCCTTTTGACCACCTCACCTTTGGCCTTTCTTTTGTCCGGGTGGTGCTTGAGGACTTTCTGCCTGTAGGCCGACTTGATGACGTTCGGGGAAGCTTTGAACCGGAGGGACTTCAAACCGAGGACTTCGTAGTGGTCCTGCTTTTTCCACTCTTTGGGGTCGAGGCTCCGCAGGTAGGCGTCGTCGTCTGGGTCGACGACGAACGCCTCTTCCGACTGCTCACTCGCGTTGGACGAATCGTCCGAGAGGCCGTCGCTGTCGTCGTGCAATAAGGCCAAGTACTGGACGTAATACGGGCCGACGCATTCCACGTTCCAGTATCTGTAAGTCGCACCGTCGCAAAGTCCCCTCGCTTCGACCATCCTGGATTATTTTTCCCTTCCTTCTAAGCGGCACACGTGTACGAATATTCAAACGGGCTCAAATACATTCATACGAGTCGTTTTTGGAGGGTTTGCTTTCAGAGTGAACCGGATCCACGAGGAAAAGAGAGCCGTGTATAAAAGACTACGGGAAACACTTTTGTCCGTTTCATAGCCTGAAAATTTTTAATCTAAAATACAAACCCTACAGGGGCCTTTCACCGATCCAGAGGCGCTACCACGTTATTCGGTGTCCATGTCCTGCGACGAAACGTCATTCACACTTGCGGCGCCGACCCAAAGCTCATTTTGGTGAATTCTTGGAAATTCTTGTCATACCATAAAAATTATATACATTATGTTCTTTACCTACTTAGTTTATTTACTTTTTATGAGTTGCTTTGGGTAGTTTAAAAATATATATTTACAACTCCTAACAGTCGATAATCCAAAGCTCATTTTTGTGAATTCTTGAAAATTTGTACTCGTCATACCATAAAAATTATATTCATTATGTTCTTTACCTACATATTTTATTTACTTTTATGACTTGCTTTGGGCAGTTGAAAAACATATATTTAGAACTCTTAACGGTCACCAACCCAAACCTCATTTTAGTGATACCATAAAAACCATAAAAATTATTTTCATTACTTTCTTTAGTTACTTAGTTTATATACTTTTTAGTTGCTTTAAATAGTTGAAAAATATATATTTAGAACTCCTAACAGTCACCTCCCAAAAAATCCGCATTCTCAACTCTTCTCATTCCTTACAAAATCTATATTCATTATTTCCTTTAGTTACTTAGTTTATTTACTTTTTTTAGTTGCTTTGGGTAGCTGAAAACCATATATTTAAAACTCCTAATGGTCACCTACCATAAACTCATTTTGATGAATTCTTGAAAGAAAATCCACATTCTCAACTCTTCTTATCCCATAAAAAAGATCAATATTAATTAGTTCCTTTAGTTACATAGTTTATTTACTTTTTTTTAATTGCTTTGGGTATTTTAAAAACATATATTTATAATTCCAAACAGTCGCCAAGCCACAGCTTATTTTGCAAATTATCAGAAAGGTTCCATAGTTTATTTACTTTTTTTAGTTACTTTGGGTAGTTAAAAAAACATATATTTAGAATTCCGAACAGTCGCCGACCCAGATGTGAATTCCTGAAAAAAATCCACATTCCCAACGCTTCTAACACATAAAAAAATCGATATCCATTATTTCCTTTAGTTTCATAGTTTATTTACTTTTTTTAGTTACTTTGGGTAGTTTACAACCATACATTTAGAACTCCGAACAGTTGCCAAGCCAATGTTCATTTTCACGAATTATCAGAATATATATCTACACTATCAATTATTCATATACCAAAAAAAAATTAGGTCTGTTATTTTCTTTAGTTACTTTTTTATTCTTTGGGCAGTAGAAAAACATACATTTCGAACTCCTAACAGTCACCTACATACATTTTAGGTGAATTGTTGGAAATATCAACTGTTGTCATACCATAAAAATTACATTCATTATTTTCTTTACCTACTTAGTTTATTTATTTTTTATGAGTTGCTTTGGGTAGTTTAAAAACATATATTTAGAACTCCAAACATTCGCCGACCCAGATGTGAATTCTTGAAGAAAAAAAATCCGCACTCTCAATTTTTCACATACCATAAACATTTTTGTTCATTATATTCTTTAGTTATTTAGTTTATTTACACTTTTAATTGCTTTGAATAGCTGAAAACCATAATTTAAAACTCCTAAAAGTCATTGACTCAAAGCCCATTTTGGTAAATTCTTAGAAAAAAATTCACTTTCTCAACTCTTATCATCTCATAAAAAAGAAAAAAAAAATTAGTATAAAAAATATTAGTTTATTGTAGGTAGTCTAAAAACATATATTTAGAACTCCGAACAGTCATTGAACTGAAGCTCATTTTAATGTATTATAGGAAAAAATTCTCACTCTTAACTCTTTTCATTCCTTAAAAAAAAATCATTACTTCCTTTAGTTACTTTTTTATTTTTTAGGCAGTAGAAAAACATATATTTAGAACTCATAATTATAAACATCCACACTCTCAACTCTTCTCATCAAATAAAAATCAATTTTATTATTTCCTTTAATTACTTAATTTATTTACTTTTTTAATTGCTTTGAGTTGTTTAAAAACACATATTTACCGCTTCTAACAGTTGCTGACCCAACGCTCAATTTGGTTAATTATCGAAAAAAAATTCACACTCTTAACTCTCCATTTACCATAAAAATTTGTTCATTATCGTATATAGTTACTTAGTTTATTTACTTTTTGAATGAATGAAAAAATAACTTTATTTAATATATAATTAATTAATTTATAAGAATTACAATATTGCCTTAAATCAATTGAATAGGCTAAACCAGCAACGCTTATCTGTATTGCATAACTGTTGGACCCAAGCGCCGTCCAGTTCAAGATCTTTCTATTGGTTTTTATTGTTACTTTTTTAATTTTTTTTTTCTTTTTTCTACGAGAGTCCGCAACAATGAGGTCATATCAACCAGGTGCCGGGTTTTTGAAAAAAAGGCCCATTTTCGGGTTCGAATGAGTCAGAAAAATTACAAGTTACACTGCCTTGAATCAGTTGAGTAGGCTAAACCAGCAACGCTCTTTTGCATTGCATAAGTGTTAGACCCTAGCGCCGTCCAGTTCAAGTTCTTTTAATTGTTTTTATTATTACTTTTTTAATTTTTTTTCCTACGAGAGTTCGCAAAACGAGGTCATATCAACCCTCGGGGTGCCGGGTTTTTGAAAAAAAGGCCCATTTCCTAGTATATCGGGTTCGAATGGCTCATAAGAATTACAATTTATACTGCCTTAAATAAGTTGAATAGGCTAAACCATCAACGCTCTTCTGCATTGCATAAGACGTTGGACCCTAGCGCTAAGGGGCTTAGACGGCAAAAAATCTATTTCCTAAAAACTGAAATTTTATAATCCAACTCACTTTTCTTACATTATTTGAGCCAGGGAATAACGCTGTAATAGTGGTTTTATGGTTAAAAAATGATGAAAACCAGTAATCACTGCTGAAACTTGAAAATTATAAATTTTACAAGATTTTGACCAAGATTTCTTTGCGGACGAAGTGCAAAAAGTTGTTGACTTGTGTAGTGGGTACATATTTTATTTATTTTAAATTCACGTTTACAATTATTAGTCAGAAATTTATTGAGAAAAACGTGCTAGAAAAATCAATATTGAGAAAAGCTTCACTGTGGTCCAATCAATCCCAGAATAGTTTCGTTGAATTCAGCGTATATAAAAACATAGAAAGCCCATGATGATTGTTGATGATATTTGCTCTGTTTTTTTGGATTTTGGACCACAATTTTTGTCAGTTTGCTGTGGTTCGATTGATTCGAAAAAATTTCATTGGATTCAGCATACCAAAAAAACCTAAACATACTAAATTTGGGGAACTTACCTCAAATAGTTTGGGTGTGAATTTTTTCCACTTTTTTGCATTTCAGGGCCACTGTATGCTGTCCAGTTCAAGATCTTATTTTTTACAAGGGTATTTCAACTACAAGGTTGAATCTTTGGGGTGCTGGTGTTTTTGAAAAAAAGCTCATTTGTAAGTATGGGTTTGATTGCAGAGCCACTGGATTCAAACCCAGAACCTTTACCTGACAGTGATCAGTGCTGTGTGAACGCTTGTTACCCTCATTAATGTTTAAATAGTTTTATTAACTTTATGTCACGTATTTTTATTATAATTTAAGTCTATACTCATATTTTCATTATTAAATAAATATAATTGCTTTATCTTGTTTTCTTTTTATTATGTATTTGTTATATTTTCTTTGATTCTTTTTTCAGTTTTTACTGTAAGACTTTCCCCATCTTAGAATAAGTTGTAGTTGTTAAAATAAGAATAAAAAATTAGTTTAAATGGCAATAAATCGGAAGAGACGATCACCCACACAGGAACTACTTGACGTCCCCGACCAGTCTGGGAAACATAATCTGCAATAATTAAGCAGTTGGTCAAAGGATGTCATAGCATAGAAAGGAGTGACGTGACATTTCTCACAAACCAGGGAAACCTAGCCCTGCAATAATTACCCAGTTGGTCAGATAAATAAGAAAGTTGAAGGGTGTCACAGCCACCAGATGTTTCCCACGAACCTGGAAAACATAAAGATGCAGTTGGACAACCAATTGAACAAATAACTAACATCGAGTTATTTAATGCTGAAGGGCCAAAAATATGTAGCAATGAGGGACATCGTAAATTGGGGTCGTTTCAACCAGGTGTGCGACACCCGACTTTGCCGGTCCACTCGCAGCATATAATAATAAGTTTATTGCACACATGAAGAAAATAAAAATTACAGATAATTCAGACAAGAAAATAAACTTAATTCGGCAAGGTAACCATCTGCCGGAGTTTGGATTAATTATTAACTAATCCTATAAAACAAACGTACAAATGTATTAAGCTAAATATATGCTAAATGTAATATCTATAAAAATAGTAAATAAAAAGGACACAAAACTGAGAAGTAAAAATCGATGAACTGGAGCTGAGACCGGAGAAACAGAAGCACCAAATATCAAGAGAAAGAGCGGGGGAAAAGAAATGAGCAGTAAAAGAGAAAAAGAAAAGAGAATTACTAGTTAAATTCATTTACTATTAGCCTTCGATAGGCCCAGACCTCTTTTGCATAATTTACCAAGTGCATCCAATCTGGTCCGTTGAGCAATTTTATAAATCTGTCCATTGATACGGTTCTTTCGCCGAACGCAGACAAACGATAGGGGGACAGAATGGGGCATTCCGCGACAAAATGGAATATGTCTTCCTTTACCTGGTAATTGCATAACTCACACTCCTGTTGGCTGAGGAGATCATAAGGCTTATGCCAAAGGTTCATCAATTCTCCCCTCAGTTTTAGGATCCAACGTATGTCTGTAATGCTCTTATTTGAATTTCGTCCCCAACCAAGCTGGCACATCTAACTCCATGATCCACCATCCTATATATACAGTATCGACTGGAAGCCTGGACACTTTCTATGTTGCTCACCATAAAACTATCCTTCAGTCGACTAATAATTGACTGGAGTTGAAGAGAGAGAGCTTTACTCTCGGGTTGCAAAAAGGACAAACCTACTTCCACCCTGTCCACCAGTCTCCCTCAGTCAGCAGCCCTCGATATCCCCAGCCTGATGATCTCTTCAGCCACTATACGGGGGGAATCTGGAGTGGTCCATTCGGAGCACCTTAACCAAGTAACAACCACTCAGAGTCAACACGAATGGAAAGATTGGGTGAAGGCTGGTTTCAATGTGCAGTATGTAAATTGGAGTGTAGTTTGGAAGACTGAACAGTTTTCGCATGAAGAACCACAGCACCCTCTCCACCTCCACGAATTCCTCTGATCCCCACACTTGTGTGGCATAACACAGAATTGAGCATGAGACCACGTTAAAAATATGCAGCTTAGCCTTTAGCGGGATCTCGGGCCACTCACAGCAACTCCCCTGACTTTTGATTTTCCTTTCCATCCCTACTCTAGTAGAGAAACTGGTACAAAAAGGGATGATTTGTAAAACAAAAGTCAATCCCTTTCAACGCCACTTGAATGCGGCAATCAGCTAACTGGGATTTTATAGATTCACATTTGATGCATTTTCAAAGCCTTATGCCGTTCCTTCAGAATGACTTTCTTGAAGAACTTTCTTCATCTTTCAGTCATTTCTGGACCTCAGATATTGGGAAGAGGAAGCCCATAAAAATGCATTAAATGTGAAACTCACTAAGCCAGGTTGCTTTCATTCATCAAAAAACCCAACATTTAGCATTTATTTTCAGTTTAACTGTATAAAAGAAAGTGGTTGATAAATATGTTTCCAGATGTATGGTATAATACGGGGCCGTACTTGCTTAGCACTTTGTCAAATCGTCTAGTTCCACAGATTTGAGCACCGTAAAGAGATTATAGCTCTTGAAACAGCATTAAAAGTCTGTCATTTTGATTAAAAAAAGACATTTTTATCACATAGAATTCTATTAAAATTATTTAATACCAATTTAGTTTATGAGGATCTATCTTTAAAATATTCCAGTGTTGAGCTGGAATGTCTACTTTTACTTATTAACAACTTCGACCTGTTTATCCTTGTGCTCTCTTCTATTAACCTCAATTTTTTTTTAAATTTTGTACGGTGAAAAAGGTCAAAATCATCATAATGCCAGACATAACAGAAAAAATGAAGATTTGCTTTGGTGATTGATCAACCTTCTCAGTTTAAATATTTTTCTTTCCAAAAGGTAGATTGAGGATGAGGCCAGGAAGACAGAAACTTCCTGGCCTCATCCCCAATCTACCTATATTATTATTAACCACTTGTCAACTGTATTAACCAGTTGTTAGATTGTTGATTGTTTTATGTACAATTTTTTTATTAAATTAGATTGAATTAAAGGTTAAATATGAATAAATACAATAACCTCAAATGATTATGGTGAGGATTAGCTGCTTTAAAAACTTTTGGGGACCGCAGTAGCTGAAAGGTTAGAGCATCCGATTTGTATTTCCCATGCTAGCAGTTTGGGGTATTTATCCTGCCATAGACATCTTTTTAATGAAAATAATACAAAAAAGTGTTGTAAAGTGTTTTCTCCCCTCATCCACGACACGGGTTGGACATTAAGTTCTCCTGTAATACAAGAATTACTTCACTTACCTAAACCGGTGAGAAAGGAAGATGGCTGGGGCACATTTGTAAATATGTAAATATATTACCGGACAGAAAAAAAATTGTGGATTAGGAGATTGGTATTGATACGGGTTCATTTAAAGTACAGGTTTAAGAAAAAAATTTCCAAACTAAAATTCAAATATTCATTCAAGAACGTGTTTTACAAATATATTCATTTAAAATCTACTATATTGTAGAAACTATACTATATGCTATATTTATACAATATAGTAAACTAACACCCAAGACATTGGTATATTTATTTTTTCTCTTCGATGCATCTTTTGCACAATTATACATGATGAGCACACTGAAAGATTGCTATCGGGCGAATTTTCTTTGTAAATTACCATCAACGATTGTTTTCATTTGTATTTTTTATTTTTTTATAGTTCAGGTTTGTAAAAATATATTCAAAAAAGCAAAATGAAAAATTGCAAGAAGTCCGTCTCGATAAAAAATTTTAAAAAAAATCTCCCAGCTTGTGAGCCGGCTGGTATTATATAAAACATTCAACAGCCATACAGTACGACAATCATTTTTTAAAATTGACAGGTTGTCATTAAAGATGTTAACAAGAATGTTAATTTTTATATTAATCTAGTTTTTTTCAGCTTGGAACGGTGATATAATCACCGATACGTGATCAAAGGACTTTATTTTATCTTATAACATCTTCTTATCCACCTAATTTTTTTTGCTCTCTGTCACGTGATGCAAGGATGTGATTTAACAAATTGTTTTTCAATACTTGTCTTAAGATTACAATTCTCTTTTTTTAATTTAAAATATTAATCTTTATATCATTTCATTAATTTTTGTTATAAGGGATATGTTTATTTGCCATAGCAGCCAAAGTTGAGACTCAGGTTACTGGGTTAATTTTTTATGACTTTACTGTTAATAATTAAAATCTTCCTTCAATGTTAAAAGTTGTAACATATGTTGCATTAATAAATTAGCCCTGGTAAATGTTTATGCTTAAGTATTGCTGTTTTATTTTAAATTTAGGATCTATAGGATCTAAGATAGACAAAATTGATTAACACAGCCAATCTTTTTAATCAATCATTTATAAACGGCCAATGTCGATTAAACACAACTTTACTTGGACACCTAAGAAAACTAAAAATACATTTTTTTTTTAAATACGATAAAAATTCTATTTTCTCAGCTATGTGAAAATTGCACTTAAATTTTATAAAAGTCTGATGAAAGTACAACATATAAATTATATTTTAAATCTTACTATATTACATTTACATAATTATATGAAACTGTGCATCTTGAAAGACGTTTGAATGAAAGGATTGGGTTCGTGGATGGTGTAGACGAGTTTGTACGCTTGGCGTTCCATTCGTTATTTCAATATTATATAGGTTGAGGGATAAAACATTCGGACGAAAAATACAAATAAATCATTTTAAAACGTAAAAATCAGACTGGTCGCCTCTGGTCGTCCTGGACTGCCTATATGCCAGGTGAGGTATGTCAGATCAGAGACGACCATATTACAAGTCCATCACCTCACATAACCTCAGCAAAATACACTTCAGGGATTAAAATATTTTTTTTTTAGCTGGGGAAAATAAAAAGGATAGTACGATGATGAGGCAAGCCTGAATGCTCGTCTGACAAAACCGTAATAATAGACCAAACCAGATATGATCAGTTGTGTTAAAATTGTGTAACTTTTATGTAACTGAGTATATAGTTTAAAAAAATTGAAATATTTAAATTGTACACAAATAAAAGAAAAATAATTAAATAAAAAAATATGTATATATATATATCACAATTTATATATATGTAAATTAAAAAAATCCAAATGTTTAAAAATTAACTCCCATATAAAATTATTTTTTATATAAATGTTAATGTTGCAAGTCTGTTTTTAATGTTCAAGTCAAAAATTAAATCTTTTAAATTTAAAAAAAATAGTTTGAAACAAAATAACATATTTCAAATAACGAAGAACAGTAGAAGAAATGTCAAGATAGAAATTCAGTTTTAGAAATGTTTTTATTTTCATTCTAGTATATAAAAAATAGTCAAGGATTCTCTACAAGTTCCCATAAAGCTTGCATTGCATCTGCAAAATGAAAATTCTAGTGAGAATTTTTGGGAAAAAGTAATTTTCTTAATTATTCAAGACGTAAGTCAATAAATTACAATATACAATTACGGTTGCTTATATTTGCATTCTCATTTATAATAATAATAATAATAATAATAATTATGCGTAAGAATTGAATTAAAAAAACTTTCCTTGTCTATATAAATATATATACACACATGTATATAATATTTTATATATTTTTTTATGTTTAAAATCTCATTATTTTAAAATTCACATTTTTTTTCTCGCTTCCTTCCTATCTGTAAAAATTAGGTTACTTGTGCTTCATTTCTTGGTGTAACAAGAGATTCAAGGTATGTCAGTTGGACTGGTTTATGGAGGGATAATTGTTTAAGTGCCTCTTCTAAGCTGAACCATTTCCTTTGCCGACCTTAAAGACACACAAAAAATTTTTGTTTTAAAAACTTAATTGACTACGATAAGACAGTTGAGTAAAACTTACCAATACTCCGTGAGTCTTCCCATTCGGGAAGTTCTTCAGTGACTACCATTACAAAAACTTCAGTCCTATGCTTTCTTTCATCGTTCTAAAAAAGAAAAAAAAACGTGATATTTAAATATTTAATGGATTATATATATAAAAAAAAATTGCAAATACCTCAAAAACACCTAATCGCCTCCCAAGTACACCTAGCACTCCTGCTTCTTCTACGACCTCCCTCACGGCAGTCATAGAGGGTTCTTCTTCGGGCTCGACTCCGCCGCCAGGTACAATCCAATGATCTGGATGGCTCGAAGAAGTCACAAGCAAAACCTTTAACATAATCGACTTTATGCAATTTAATTTCTAAAACAATAAATAATAACACTTCATAAAACCGAGGTCTAGGTTTTTTCTCAAAAGTTATTGCATAATCTCTTGACCCATGAAATGGATAAAATTAGACTTTTAACGCTTTCTCTTTTGTTTGCTTTGGCAGGCACATCCTATTTGTTAACTGTTGATCATTTCTTATCTGGCTATTTTTGTCATTACGTTGAGAAGAATTTCTCTAAATGTCTTTATTGTATTTCTGATTAATCTATTTTGTTGATCAAAATGGTGAAAGTATAATTACGACAAGACTGACAAACACGTGCAGACCAAATCACCAGAAAGTCACATCCAAATTCAAATTTTAAATATATAATTTGATCACTGTGTCAACCAAGTTACAAACAGGCTGCTTTCCATGCCTAAAAGGCAGTCTAATTACTGTACAGGACCGTATGAGCCGTTTAGTTACTGAATTTAATTATTGTCAGTTTCAGAATCAAGCTGATTCTTCATTTTCCTACCTTGCTGTAAAGCCACCTGGTTACAAACAAGCGGATTTTTATTCCCATGGCTGTAAATTCTGGTTACTTAGTCAAGCTAATTCTGTCCGCAAGTTGTTGCAGGCTAGACTTTTGCCAGACTACCTAATACAATCTTCAATAGCCTTCCAGTTACAGAATGAATTTTGATCATACAGCTCATGAAGTTATAAACTTAAGTTGATTTGTAACGCGTTCTTGGCCATAAAAGCCTTTTGGTCATAGAATGAAGCTTTTTCTGGCAATAAAGTAAGCGTACTATAAAACAGAATCAGTCTATGAAACCACAGCAATCATACTTCAACCCAGACTAATGCTGATTTTCGTTGGTCTCTATCTTTGCTTCATTAAAAAGCCATCTGGATATTTTTCTGGTTTATTAAATTAAATATTGTTAGTAGTAATTAGTAAATTATTCTCATTTTCCTGCCCTACTGGGGGGGGGAAACCATCTGGTTACAGACAACCTGATTTTCATTTTCAACCTGATCATAAAAGCTTTCTCGTTGAATAAAGAGTCAAGGTAATTCTGTACATAAAGCCCCACTAGTAGCAGACTCTAGACGATTTTCATTCTTATCTACTGAATCCCACTAGTTCATTTTTCATTTTTTATACCCCTCTTTAAATTGGTTATAGAATCAAGTCACCTGTCTAATTGCTCATTTTCATTTGTATGCCTCGCTATATAGGCATGTGGTTACAGATCATCTGGTTTTTATTCTCACATCATACCGAATAAGCTTTCTGGTTGCAGAATCAACCGTCTCGATGGAGACTAGCCAATTCTTTCCAGATCTTAGCCATCGAACTATACAAGTTAATTTTTTTCAATTCATACCACGCTGTAAAATCCATCTGGCTACAGATCATCCAGTTTTTGTTCTCACATCACACCAAATAGGCTTTCTGGTTAATGAATCAAACTGACCCTCTAGATACAGACTAACCAATTCTTTCCAGATCTTAGCCATCGAACTCTAAAAGTATTTTTTCAATTCATACCACGCTGTAAAATTCATCCGGTTACAGATCATCCGGTTTTTGTTCTCACATCATACCAAATAAGCTTTCTAGTTGCAGAATCTACCCTCTAGATGCAGACTAGCCAATTCTCGATCCTAGACATCTAACTCCACAAGTTAATTTTTCATATGTATGCCTCGTTATAAACTCCATCTGGCTTCAGACAATTTTTTGTCTCATATAGTGTAAAAACTGCCTGATTACAAAATCGAGCCAACCTTCTTGCAGACTCTAGGTAATTCTAGCTATCGAACTCTAAAAGTTAATTGTTCAGTTTTTGCCTTGTTATAAAATCCATCTGGTTAGAGATTCAAGCTGACTCTCTAACTGCAGACTCTAAACATTTCTCAATTCTAGCCATCGAATCCACAAGTTGATTTTTCATACGTGTTCCTTGTTAGAAACTCCATCTGGCTACAAAGAAGCTGATTTTTTTTTGTCTCATACCCAACTGTAAACGCCGTCTGGTTACAGAATCAGGACAACTTTCTTGTTGTAGACTTACAGTAATTACCCTAGCCATGAAACTCCGTAAGCTAATTTTTCAATTCAAACCTCATTGTAAAATCATTCTGGTTAAAGATTCAACTTGACTCGAGTTGCAGACTTTAGCCAATTCTTAAGCCAAGCCATAAAAGCGGTTTAAGTTATACCGTTCAATTCCTGTGAATTGCTTTTACCCTTACAAAAAATTCCCATCAGTCATTTTGGTTTAATAAAATAAACTTGTATAAGCAAACAAATAAAGAAGGAATCTGGATAAATCGAGTATGTGTGGAAGTCTTTCTCACACATATCAAGTGAACAATTTGGGAAAAGCGGCATAACGAATGGCGTCAAATGGCCTTAAACAATCCAAATAGAAATTAAGGAAAATGTAAAACAGTGGGACTACGTCATTTGAACCTCCCGTAAGGAAGAAACGGTCCTAGCTCTCCTCAGAATAGGACATCGCATCATGTCAAGAGAACCACCACCGATCCGTCGAGTTGTCAGGAACCGCTTCAAACGTATCCTGCCTGTATTCGATTTGAGCCAGAAAGGTGCACATGCGGTTTGGTAAGATTGGGACAGATTTTTGTCGGATAGCTAAGTAGAAAAACTTTTCAATTTCTTGAGAATGGTGGTGGTGGGTACGGCAAGCCTGGTGCGTCAGCCCTCTTGCTGGCCGGCGGTTTCAGTTCATCGCCACAATAACTATTACCCTAATAATTCTGTTCAAGGCAGATTGTGACCCTTAGTGGTTGTCTTTATTAATAATATTAAAATAAATCAATGAAATGAAGAATTTTTCATATGGGTTTGTAAGCTGTCAAAAAAATTGTAAGTTTTGAATTGAGGGTAAAATACACAGAATCGTCGTAGAAATAACAACAAAAGCAAAATATTTAGTTTTATTTTTGTAATAAATAATTAATTTGTCTTGTAATTTGGATAGGTTGTAACTAACCTCGTTTTCTGATTCACTTTTAACGCATATGCATGCGGCTCTCCTCCTGAAGCCGTCCTGGTCGTATATTCGAGTGGATCCGGGCTTTTCCTTCACCATGACGTCCAGCTTAGAAAAAAGCTCAAACTCCGAACAACATGAGAAAAGACGGGGTTGGTGGGAAAAAAGAAAAAAAAAGAAAAGGCGAAGAGAGAACACGCGACTACAATAAACACAGGGTGAACTCCATAGTTTTTCCTTTCTACGTCAAATCCCTCTTTTCAAGATGAAAAGTCAGCCTTGGAGGCGGGTTTTATCCAAAGGCGAATGTAAAAGACCGACAGCGGGGGGAGAAAAAATGTCGCGAGCGGGGAAAATCGAGAGAAACCGAGGAGAAGAAGCGGCTAAAAGTCTATCGAAACGAAAATAAAATTAAAAAATAAAAACTCGACTCGGTGCGCAGCATTTAACCACCACTCTACCAAGGATGAGACACTAGGAATACATAATTGGAATTTGATCCATGGCACAGCTTCACACTTTGCCGAATGCACAGCCGAACGCTGACACCGAGTTGGAGAAGGCGAATGGCGATCGGCGACAGACACACAACACAGAGTTGGTCAGCTGAAACTCGGAGACGGCGATCAGCTGTATGACAACCTCCGGCACGCGCCACATTCCGAGCCGGCACGTTCGAATTTACACATTTTCAGATTTTCCCGATATTTAGGCAAATTTCCCTGTCAAAAATAAATCTAGAAAGTTAGGAGAAAAACAATTCTCAATAAAAAGACAAAACGTACAAATTGTGTACTGAACAACTGCCAAAAACTAAAAAAAGACTTATTTTTATACTGATGATATAATTTCTGCCTTTAACAATTATCTAATTATTCAACCATCACAAATCGAAGTATAAATGTAAACTGGATGGACGTCAGGTATAGGGATAAAAGAGATGGTCACAAGGTCTTTAACTCACTGGCCAGCTTTATGTTATTACTTAACCATAGCCTTGCAAATAGCTCCTCATCGTAGGATCTTGCAACTTTTCCTAGTTGCAAGATCCCATGGTTGTGGGTTCGATCCTCACCATCTCTTCTGGACTTTTTCTGATGCCTAAAAGAGACCAGTGACCGTAATTGAAAGAAATTGACCCGACACTCATCAATGGGGCGGGATCGGATCTCAGCGACCATGAATTTGTTCCCAACCCCCTTTGAAAATGAGTTTCTTCGATGGAAGAACACTGGCACACCGGGGGCTCAATTGACACACGTGTTGCAAGTTCCCAAAAAATGGAGCCAGGAATAAAGACCTTCACAAAAATATAAAATGTATTCTGCATTCTCCTCCACTTCCTGGCATTATATGCATATAATACACATCTATCTGTACTCCTATATGGTGCAGTCAGGAGTCAAACCAAAATCCTGGTTCGGTTGCAGTCACCTTCCCGTAATTCCTTTGTTGGTTTCTATGAATCTCCTAGCATGCCTCATGCCTGAGGTATTATTCCACCAACTTTAGACTCATTAAGGATCTATTTTAGGATGTATTATATTTTCTGGCAATATATTCCTGGAATGTATTCCTAGAATTTTTATTTTCCTGGTGTAATGAGCAATTGCTATGTTTTATGGAATTTATGAAAAATTTTATTTATGCTATTGATGGAAAACTGTAGCATATTTACCTAGGCTTAACATCAGTTGAGTCTTTGGATTCGACCCGAAGACTCCAGCTCCCATGCTCTTGTCAGTTTTAGAGCTGTCAGTATACCATATGAGTTTGCCACTAATGGATGGGTGTTAAGAGTAACAACACAAACACAGAAGAGAAAAAGTCCATAATACTATATGGCTACCTGAAAAAATATTTGGTTAAAAAACCTAACTTATTAATTAATAATAATAATACATATATTTTATACACGCATACACACTTTGCACATGGTCGAGAACGGAAACCATGGCTCTTGAGGGATGTGGATGTTCATAGCCTATGCACACCTCTACAGTACAGCTGAAATAAAAATGATAAAATCATGCTGATTATAGTGCTCATCCTGCTGCATTGTGGCTGGCTTCTGGGTTTCCTCCTCCATCGGGTCATGTCCCCTCCGGGTTTGCGTGCGAGGTGAGGAGGCTGCATAAGTAAATGTTTTAAAGCAACATGACCCTTAGCAGTTCTATGCCTTTACAAATTAAAAATATTAAAAAAATAATAGAGCTAACATAGCCATACCATGCAAGCTTGGAGTTAAAAATAATACCAATTCTTATATGTTTAGCAGTCTAATTACTTATTTCAACCTAATTACCTATTTCAATTAATTATTCTTTTTAATGTAAGGTCTTTGTTGAGATGAAAAAGTGTCACGTGCGGGATTCGAACCCACAAAAAATGGCAAAAAGTGGTAAAATTCGAAAGGCTGTAGGTTGAGATGGGGAGTTGGTGTCGAAGTGGATCGAAGTCCCGATAGCTCATATGGGTAGAGCAGCGGCGTACATATTTAGCTTTGGCTCTTGGGTTCAAATCCCACTCATGACACCAACTTTTTCACCTCAACCTATACCTTACATTAAAAAGAATAAATAACACCAATATTTTAAACTTTAGTACAAAAATTAATAGGAGGAGCTATTCATATGAGAAGGAGATAGGCAATTTTTATTAATGGGTTTATTGGAAATTAATAAGAACTGGGGTTTTACGTTTTAAAAGAATGCCGTTATGTCCTGATGATTGATTGACAGAATGTCGGCCATTGTTGAGCAGAGAGACAACTTCAGAAATATTACTTGTTGGACATTGAATGTAAAGCTGTCATCAGCATAAATATAAAATCAGGAGAAATTAAGAACTAATGGATCATTTAGAAACATGGAAAAGAGTAAAGGCCCAAGAATGGTGCCTTGGGGTACATCAGCTGAAATTGAGAGAGGAGATAGAATTTGATGTTTTTATTCTCAGTTCTGTCAAATAGGAGGAATGTGATTAGTAGCAGTAGAAGAAGAAAAAATGTATCAGTTTCTAAATAAGCAAATAATGATTTATGAAGCATGCATTGGAAAAATCAAGCAGAACTATAGTACACCAATGCATAGGTGAATATCAACTGGGATTTTGAGTAGGGCTGTCTGATAAGTATTAAATTTTCGGATGTCAAATTGAAAATTAAATATAAGGGCATGGTATTCAATAAATAAGGATAATTTGTTTAAATAAAATCTTCTCAAATGCTTTAGATAGAAAAATAAGTATAGGGCGGTACTCACTAGGGAGGGGGTAAATTGTAAATTTATTTGTTAAAAAAAAATGAAATATAAAGTCAATAAAAGTAATAAAAAGTCTTCCAATAAGAGTAATAAATAGGCAATTTATTGCTAGATAAATTGTAAAGAAATGTTTGTTATATAGAAGATCGTACGCGGATGCGCCGGGGCGCCAAGAGAAGGGACGAAATGTACCTGAACGCCGGAACCCGGAAGGTTAGTCTCTTATTCTCTAATCTCTATTCTCTATTCTTCAGATCTCCGGATCTTCCGTTTCAGTAGAAGCGAAGACGTTTCCATGAAAATTTACACACGGTATTGAAAAGTTCTACGAATTAAATACACAATCTTAGTATCTTCCTATCGATTTGATTTCTTTCCTCTCTTTTCAATTCCTTATCTTTTTTTAATCTATTCTTTACACCCACACAGCATCTGTTCCATTCACCCCGGTATATTCCTTTGTTTCATGTGCTTTTAAGCAGTTTTAAGTATATTCCAGGTCCTATCCGGTATAGTATTTTGCATTAAATTCTAAATTAATGATTTAATTTATCATAAAACTACAAATTTGAATAATAAAACCATACTACTGCCTTTGCAACTAATGACAACCATAAAAATTGGCCAAAGAATTGTATGTTAAGTTGCTAAAGAATAGTATAAAGAGCTTAAAGCCTGTGTTAACAAAAAATAACCCATTTTTAAAGCTTCATAATTGGTTTTAATTAACAAAATTTACATATTTGCAGTAATGGAAATTGTCTTTTGGCACAACATCTTCGTCAGATTTTCAACGCCACTGCAGTATGATTTGCTGGTGTGTATCTATAGACATATACTTCTGTGTACTTATCTCACTTATTATTATTTTTTTTTAGGGGAATCTTTTTTCTGAAAGAACAGGAAGAATGAAGCTTTAATTAGTTTTTAATCCTTAATAAAAACAAACAAATAATGCTGACAGATAAAACGTAAGACTGTCTTTATTTTTGCATGTTTCTTTATGTTTAAAGCTCGATTTTTTTTTCCGCACCCCAGGTTTATTTTACATATAGCGATTCTACTCTCTGCGCAGTTTGTTTTTGGAAGTAATTATTACGATCTGTTGGGCGTTTCGAAATCGGCCACGCATCAGGAAATCCGAAAAGCGTATAAAAAGCTCGCTTTAATACTTCACCCCGACAAAAATTCAGTAAGTATGGGATTTTAGTATTTTTTTGAAGCAAGGGTAATTTTTATTTTGAAGGATGTTTAGCAGAATTCCTGATCATCGTGCTGGTTAAAAATATCCCGCTTGAAACTGTCAAAATGACTCCGATTTATAAAATGTGCAGGAATCAACCATGATTATCAGAGATTATTGACTTGTCTTGTGTTAATTTATTATATAAGCTGGTATTTTGTTTTGTTTTGTTTTTGAAGAAGAAGAAGAAAATACATTTTATTCTAGTGCATTGGGCCCTCTTGAATTAAAAAAAAAAAAATTGGCACAATTCTTGTCAAAATGAATATACTCTGGTGGTCAAAAGTTTATGACCACTTAAAACAGCGATTAAGTCTAATTTTAAATACACGGTTGTATAGAATACCCTGTAGAAATTTGCATTTACGGTCAATTCTGTTAATCAGATGTAACAAAAATTACGAGAAAAATAAATATCGCAATTAAGAAGAATTTCATATACTGTCAATGACAGCACCCTAATAATCCTTAAGAATTAATTAAGAATTAACAATGTGTTTGTTGTGTCTAGAGTTTTGTTTAAATTCCGTTCTATCTCACAGTACTTTTTGGTCGTTAGTTTTTTTTTTATGTTTCAGACCACAAAGTTTGAAAATTTTAATTGTCTGTTACGTTTTTTCTTTTTTCACTTACAAAAATCGGTAAAAAGAAGGAATTTTCTGTCGAACTTCACAGTGCGATTTGCACATGGCACAAATCGCCACTCAACTAAAAATTTCAAAAACAGGGGCCCATAACACCATTGCTTGCTTCGAGGAGACACTCTCATCATGACAAAGCTCGATCAGGACGACCCAGAATAACATCTACCCAAGAAGATAAATTTATTATTTTGAAAAGCAAGAGGGACAGAGACTCATTGACCCCTAGATTAGAGCTGAGGTTAATACTATCACCAAAAAATCAATTTCTGTTTCAACTGTACCAAGGAGACTCAGGGAGGGCAACTTGTTGGGGTGTGTCGGTACACTGAAACCATTTGGCGTCCTGCTAATAAGAAGAAAAGATATCAGTGGACACTTGCTCGTAAGGATTTTACACTGGAGGATTGGAGAAAAGTACTCTGAACCAATGAATCAAAGTTTCAGGTATTTGGATCAAGTTGCAGGATTATGGTTCGTCGTACCCCATCAGAAAAGTTTATTCCTGCATAATCCCGACTGTTAAGCATAGGGGGGGGTTTCAGTTTTTGTGTGTGGGTGTTTCTCGGGCTTTGAACAAGGAGATCTCGTACAAATTCAAGGAATACTCGATAAAGAGATGTACAAAGACCACGCAATCCCTTCTGGTTTCACTATGCAAGAAGATAATGATCCTAAACATTCTTCCAAATTTTGTAGAAGTGATTTACAAGAAAAAGAAAATGAAGGAGTTTTGAAGAACATGACTTGGCCAGCTCAATCTCCGGATCTCAATCCAATTGAATTCCTGTGGGAAGAACTGGTAACAAATGTCCAAACTCTTGCTCAATGTTCACAAAAACACTTATGGGAGCTCTTCCAAAGTTGTTGGAATAACATGCGTTTTGAAAAATTAGAAAAACTTAGAGACAGAATACCACGAGTAGTCCAAGCCGTCTTGACAAACAAGGGGGGATTTTTTGATGAAGAAACATATAATATCTTTATAATATATTTATTTGTGGAAAATATTTACATTTACACAGTATGTATACATAAACTTCATAATAGAGGCATTTACAAATATAACAAATACATTATAAATAGTATAATCAGACCTAAATAGATACCTTCTTTCCTTCAGTGGTTTAAAATTGACAATAATTCTTTTTTATAACAGTTTTGTGACTGGTAAAATATATCTAGTTGGTTGTTTGCACAGTTTAGTATTTTATAAGCCCTTTCCAGGGGAGCATTTTTCGTATAATTGCTTTTATGGTGCTATATAAAAATATTCTGTTTGTCTATTTCTATAGGCAGGTACATGAAATTTTATCTTTTCTAGTAGAGAGGGGCATTTAATTCTATTGTTAATTATTTTGAACAATATTAGAGTATCAGTTGATCATCTAGATTCTAGTGAATTTATCCTTAATTGGGATCTAAGTTGAATGGTTTGGCCATTGGTTCAAGGCGTATTTGTAGTTTGAGACCACAGAATCGTAAAAATTTGTTTTGCACTTTTTCTAAAGTATACATATGATTAGTAATAGGGTGACCAAACAGTTCTCTAAGTGGGACTTGACCAAAGTGAAATATATGTTTTTGATGATGTTAATGTTATTTATATTAGTTACATTACGCTTAACAAAACCTAGCATTTTTAGGCTTTTGTTTTTTATATATTCTATATGCTCAAGGAACATTAACATAGAATCAAAAATTATCCCTAGGTCCTTTATGGAGTCTAGTGATGAAAGTTAATATCACAGATCTTATAATCACAGATTAGAAGACATCCAATACGATGGAAGTGAGTACCACACTATACTGAGCACCACATCACTAAGTTATTTAATTCTATTTATAAATATTATAAATAATATAGGCGATAAATGTCCTCCTTGCGGAACACCAGATGTGACCAATGGGATCGGATGGGGTATCATTAATGATAACATTGGATCCTATTATTTAAGTAACTGCTTATCCAGATATAGATGTACATCATATAGATATATATCTATATTTAGCTTATATAGATCTTTTTTATTCTACATTACCATTATTAATCCATTTATTTTCACAGATATCTTATCATTGTGTTAATCAAATTTTGTTTGAAATCTTTATTTTCCTTCTTTTATTGCAAAAAGTTGAGGTGGACCTAAACTTTTGACCGGCAGTGTATAAATAAAGGTTTAGATATAATTCAATTAATTAAGGTTTTTTGTTGAGATAAAAAAGTCAATATCACAAGCAGGATTCGAACCCACGACCCTTGGCTAGATACACCGCTGCTCTACCTCTTGAGCTATTAGTCACTGTTAATCGATATTTATTTAGAAATCGTGAGCTATCATGACTTCGATCCTTAGCTTAAAAGAAAAAATTAAGCAATTCATATTCCTAGGGCTCGAAAGAGAATTTGACTTGTTTTATTTATTTATTCAGTCATTTCATTGAAAAGAAGAGGCCGATAACAACTGTCCTTTTATTTTTATTCATTCTACACTCTTCACAGTGAAGTTCCCCGTGTAGATTTCGTTTAAGTTGTCACTAGAAAAGTTGAATGTGATATTTTTTCTTCCGAGCCATAAACGGATACATATCAGTTGGAAATTTATTAGATCCCTCTATTCAGAGAAAAAACCCCTTTTTTCACCATGAACCCCCATACAAAAGGGGCGTGTCGAGTCAAGAGTCACGATAGCTCAAGTGGTAGAGTAGCGGTATCAAGCCGAAGATTGTGGGTTCGATTCCCGCTCGTGACACTGATTTTTTATCTTAACTAAAACCCTTAATTAATTGAATGATATTAATTAGTCAAGCAAACCACGAAAAATAGTGAATTTAGATATAATATCAAAAAATGAAATGAAGTGTACTAAATTAAATCATTACGGTGGAAAATTAACCATCCTCGGTGTTCAACTGTAGGGACAGGAGGTAGTCGGAAAGAATCAAAGGTGGGAAGAATTGAGGCACAGCGAATAGAGTTAGGTAGGGGATTCCAGAGGTTGTAGGAACGGATAAGGTAGGAGCTCAAGAGAGTACAGCCAAAAATAGGAGGGGAACATCTATTTCAAACCACAATGCATACTGGACGCACGATACAGTCAACTCATGATAATTTGAAACCTAGGGCCACAAAAATAATTCAAATTATCAAGAGGAAAGAAAAAAAAACATTGTCAAGAGTCGATATGCATTTTTCCATTTTATTACTTAGATTGTATGTATATAAACATAGTAAAACTTCGAAGAAACTTCAGGCTGTAAGGAAGTAAACAAAATTTAGACGAATATAAACGAAAAAGTGTAAATTATAAAGATGGGAAGTGGCACCAATTTGATTAATAGCATGCTTTTTCTCCCCCTGTTATGAAAAATATTTTGCATTATCGAGTGAATCAAATTGCACAGAATTTTTCCGATTTACTGAAGTGACCTGCTGAGGAGTTCATATTATCAAGAAATTCAAATTAACAAGAGTCGACTGTATCTCTTTGGGATGCTAAATATGAACCAAAGAAAGACCGTGATTCTCCTAATAAGTTTGCTGATGAATCCATTGAGACTTGACAACTTTTTAAGTTTGAATTTCATTTTGAATTTTACACCAATTTTAGTGTTATAAATGTACCCATTATCGTGCATTGTTCTAGTATGGCTGATGCTAAATCGTACTAGCATTTTGTATTATCACGTTTTCCAGGCTTTCAGGTTCTGTATTTTTACAGTTTTTTCCCCTCTATAGAGTCATAGCTTCAACTTTTGTGCTGATCTCTACTAATGAATACTAATGCTAATCTTGGAAGATAAGTTTTTTTTAACAAGTAAAAATTCTGAGGGGTGTGGTATCAAGATTTGCGTGGTTCAAGAGCTGCTTTCCCAGGTACCATGGTACCATAGCTATTGCAGGGCCATCTGTTGATAGTCCTATTTTTTTAATGAGATATTTAACTGGAGTATATCCTGGAAATAATTTTTAATTCCTTTGTGTTAAGTAAGACTTCCTCTTTCTCCTACTGGATTGTTTTTGCGATTTTTTTGCTTACCTCATTCCTGATTTTTACTCTCAGTATTTATTGTTTTTTTTTTATTACCCAAGATTCAAGTTCTCTTTTATTGCAACTATGGTTTATTACACAATATGGATTTGGGCCTATCTGTTGTTCTGAGGCTTTTTTTTTAGGAATCTGCTGCCTCGTTACTTGTTATGTGGAACTTGTAGTGATATTTGTAGGGTTTTTTGATATTTTTTGGGCTTGGAGTACCTTTAGAGCTGCCTGCCTGAAAGAATGATTATTGTTACACCTTTCAGATGTTTTATTTCTCGTTTGTATGTCTAGCAGTTCGGCTTAAAAAATGGTTGTGGTAGGTCAAGGGGCCATGTGGTGCTCGAGTTAGTTGTTACGACCATGCCCATACCATTTCCCATCTTTTAGACATTCCTAGAGGTTGGGAGTTCCAATATTGGTTTAATAATAGTAACAAAATAAAGAAAATATATCTTGATCTCTATAATTATTCAGTTTGTTATATTGCCTGATGATTAATTAAATAATGATTATTTTATTCAAGGATGACAAGAATGCGCAAGAGAAATTCTTGAAAATAACACGAGCTTATGAAGTATTAAAGGACGAAGCGAAACGAAAGCATTACGATTTGCATGGCGACGATGTGCCTTATACTCACACAAAATACCAAAGTTATTATTATTACGAGCACCAATTTGGGTTGTACGACGATGATCCACATGTCATCACACTATCTGGGATTTCAGATTTCGGTAGGGAATTTTAACTTTAAGTAGTTTCATATCGAATAAATTTATTTTTGATTTTTAAATAGAAAACTCGGTGGAAAATATGGAGTCTAGTCAATGGTTTATAGTATTTTATTCGCCCCTTTGTATGAGTTGTCACCATGCGGCACCCATGTGGTCTAAACTGGCGGAAGAAATGAACGGTGCTTTGTCATTCGGTGCTGTTAATTGTGAAGATGACTGGCAGATATGCCGGCACAAAGCTGACATCAATGCTTACCCAACTTATGTTCTCTTTCCTTCGGTAAGTTTTGTACATTTTTTTTTTTTTTAATTTCGTAAGATTTTACTATGTGTAATATTGTAGAGAACAACTTTGGTCGGTTCCAAAAACAAAGAAGAGCTGAGAAATTTTATTATTGGAAGATTAACGACCGATACTGTTAACGTTTGGACTCAGAATGACTGGGACCAAATCAAGGAGAAACACAACAGTTGGCTCTTGATTCTTAAAAGTAACGATCACGACAAAGATAACCAAAAAATTGTATCAGCAATGATGGTAAAGTTTTTAAAAAAATTTTAAAATTAAACTTTTTAAATGCAATTTACAATAAATTGTATTTCGTTTTTGATTTTTTAGAAAGGTCTTATCGGTGTTGCTCTAATTCACTGCTCACACATGCCGTGTTCCGAATTTAGAAACGATGAGAACAACGGTTATGCTTATTTGGTGAAAGAGCATGATACATGGAGTGTGAACGCATTAGAAAACGGAGAGCCGCAGGAAATCGCTAATCAAATTTTAACCCTTTTACCTTCTATAGAAAACTACGATGAAAATATGTTGGAGGTAACACAGATGAATTTATTTTATTTGTATTGCTTTATTTTTATTTTTTTAAATTTTTTTCTAGGAGTATATGAATGATTTAGAAAATGGGCTTCAAACTCCTCTTTTAATTTATTTCCACATGGGACCGTCGACGAAACTAGACACGGAGATTAAAAAATTAACGGCGACTTTACCAAATTTTAAAATCGGCCGTGTAAATTGCGGTAGGTACGTTAATCTTTGTTCCTCGCTCAGTATTTCTCGTTATCCACTTTTCGGCCTGTTTAAACCGGGTGGTGGGAAAGAGTTCTACCACGGCTCGCTCACGATTCACGGTGTCTCGGCGTTCGCGAAGGAAAGTTCGCAAGCCGTCAACTTCTGGGAATGCGGCCCTGAAGAGCTTAAAGAGAAGATCAAAGAAGGGCCGACGCTCGTGGACTTTTATGCGCCTTGGTGTCCTCCTTGTATCAAACTGCTTCCAGAGCTCAGAAAAGCCTCCCTGAGTTTTATATCATCTGTGATAACATTCGCGACAGTCGACTGTACGATTCATTCCGACTTGTGCAGAGAGCATAGTGTGACTTCTTATCCTACAACGCTACTTTTCAACGTAACAAGAAAACCGTTGAAAATGGGTAGCCGGACGGCAAGCTCAATAAAAGAATTCGTCGAAGACACAATATCTCCTAAAGGTAACGATGACAAATACTTAAAACAAAGAACAAAAAAAATACAATATATATTTTTTTCCAGTCATAGAACTAAACGAAGAGACATTTTATGAAACAGTTGGAAAGAAAAAAATTAACGAATTGTGGGTTGTGGATTTTTACATGCCATGGTGTGGTCCATGCCAACAGATGGAACCACAATACAGAAAACTTGCTAAGGTAAATATTGGGGGGGGGGGTATAAGTTGTTTTCCCCCTAATTTTGACTTTCATCCTTATAAAGGACTTTATTACCTGCTAGCCCCATTAGCTCTAGGGTGAAAAAAAACTTTATTGAAAGAGATTGTTGAAAAAGTTGATCAACTGCGACATGAGATGAAACAGAAAAAATTCATCTCATTTCATTCTCTCATTTGAGATAATCTTTGCTTTATGAGTTCAATCTCGGTCATACCAGCCTCGTAAAAGGCCTAACAAGCTTAAAATCGACGATTTATTACTGGCATTGAAGGATTAGGACAAATTAACTGTCAGAGCTATCAGAAAAATTTCAGGTTCATCGCATAACAATAGAAAGAAAGATCCGATCTCTTGGTTATGTTGTGAAACTTGATTCATAGCCCCAGGAAGACCACCTGGCTTGCTGTATTTCATCCATGAGCAGGAATAAATTAGAAGGGTTTATTTTCTATTTGGTCTCTGAGGTTGGGGGTTTGAAGGAAAAAAAGTCTAAACCTGGTGAATAGAGGCAGTGTCGTCGAGTAAAATCGCTGAGTTAGGCTGGAAACAGTTGCCCCATGCTCCATAATCTCCAGACCTTGCCGTTTCCAATTTTTTCTTGTTCCGGTCCTTAGACATCTACTTAAAAGGTAGGTAATTTTTGAACAAAAACACTCTGAAATTCGAATTTACAGATTTTTTTTCATCTAACCAGGTCACGGTTTTTCGGTGATTATACACTCCAAAATATTGGACGTGTACCCACCGCATTGGAAATCCATAAAAAAAGTCCCACTTTTCCAATAGCAACGTCTTCATTATAAATAGACCTAAGGGAATTCTTAATAAATCAACTTAATTGGGTTAATGTTTTTTTTTTTCAAAATCGAATTTTCATCGCAATTAATTGAGCATAAATTTAGAGATTTTAAAAAAACATATATTATTTTTGGTGTATTAATTTTATTGTTGGTGAACATAAATACAAAAATGTTCTTCGAATACGACCCATAATATTCTAATTTGGTATGATTTAAAAAGGTAAATTAAATGCTTACAAATGGGCTTTTTTCAAAAACACTGGTACCCTGAAGGTTCATGTAGCCTTATAGTTAAAATACCCTCAAGGAAAAAAAAGAAAGAAAGATAAATCAACAAAATATTTCTTTTTCTTTTTTATTTTTTTAACAAACTTTCTGTAAGCAAAGTATGTCAGAAAATGGTGAAAACTTGGATTGGAAAATGCGATTCTAGCATTATAAAACCCTTAGAAACCAACTTTCGTGGAAATCGGTGTAAATTAATATTTTGACCGATAATTTCGACGACCTTATGTGTAACTGACATTCCTAGTCCAAGCTACAACATGATTTTTCTCAAAATCTAGAGGACCGATTTTCATAGTTGATAATTCGTTTAAAAGAAATTATCAGGGGAAATTTTATAACTGCGTCAAACATTAAAATCAAACTATTATTTCAAATTAAAAAAAAATTGGGTTTATTCCTGACAAAGAATTTTCCTGTTTTCTTATAAAAATCTTTTTTATATTTTTATGGGATTTACATCGTTAAAAAGCCCCTCTTCTTTGAAATGGTCCATTTACGTTAAAAACGTAAGACGTTAAAATACTTCTAGTTGTTTTTGAATTATAGACATTTCAATCAGAAATTCTGATGACTTCTAAAAAATAGGTAAAATTTTAGGGGCCAAAAAATCCATAAATTTAAATTCAAACAAAAGTTTATATGGGTCTCTTGAGGTGCTAAAATGAAATTTCATATTTGTTAAAAAAAAAAAAAAAAAAAAAAAAATTAGTACTAGTTAGAGTTGATAGTTTACGGGAAAAATATTTGGTTTTTAGAAATTTTTTTAGTTATTGATAAATTTTGATAGTTTTACTATATTTATACCATAAAAAAATGATGTAAAATGATTTATTCACATAGTTGATTTGAGCAAGTAGAACAGCGAAATAAAAGCATTAAAAAACGGAAAATATCAACTTTCTAAAACAAATTTTGACAAAACCAGGCCCTATTCACAAGAAGTAGTGTATATGTGTCTGATGTTTTGGAGTGTAGAATCAACAAAAAAAGTTTGGTCCAAATCTGTGACCCACCAACCCAGTCGTCCCCTCGAATCAGACTTGTACAAAAAAAAAAAGGGATATTTCTGCTACCAGAATGTGGGAAGTTTGTTATAGAAAATTCAATGATATTATGTTGTGACATTTCCTCCTGGCCTGTAGTTTGATAGTTACTTATCATCTGGGTCTGTCTATCCTTGCTAATTTTTGTCAGATACGTTACGCATTAAAAAAGTCGTCAAAATGACAAGATGAAAAATGTCCCAAATACTGAAGATGGCAAAATGTCAAAACTCATCTAACTGTAAAAAATAATCGGATGGCCAGTCCAAGATGATAGGTAACTATCAAACTATAAAATTATACTTTGAATTAAAAATAAAATACATTTATATTCTGAAAGTTTTTTTTTCTTCTAAAAATGGAAAAAACTTATGCCAACCCAATACAATACATCTTTAATCACACATGTGTCATACTGTACCCAATACATCTTTTTTTTATAGATGATGTCAGATATCAAAAACGTAAAAATTTCCAAAGTGAATTGTGAAGAGGAACAAGCACTTTGCACACGGCAGAGAGTCCAACATTACCCACATATTAGGCTTTATCCGATGCATTCTGAAGGGATGTTAACTGTCATGTAAGTATAATTCACAGTCTAATTATCTTAAACTATGATTTTGATTAATCATGATTACTCAATAAAATGTATTCATTTAAATGTTAAAAAATTAACTGAAAGCTCCTGTGAATCCTCCTAGATTGTTAAAAATATTTTTGAAAAAGAGAAAAAAGAAAACATGCTTAATTCTGTCTCTTAGTTCCTTTCGGACATAAATAATGGTTTGGCTTAGTTAAAAATACATTTTTTCAATTAAAAATGAAATATGATGTTTAATCAATGAGCGAAATATTTCTCTTTGAGTGCTAGTGAGTAAAGTTTTTGACTTCAGATTGCAATGGATTCAGTATTTGATCTTCAAGCCTCAACAGCTTGTTCAGGCCGTTAAATAGCCGAGAAATCTGTTCAGAATTAATAAATTATTGTGGAATTAAGTGATCAAAATTGTTCAATAGAAAGAAAAAAAAAGAAAGTAATAATTCTCTTATCCACATTTGCGTTTTATTTAGATTAAAATTCTTAAAATTTCTCTTTTAAAGGATTTACTCTGGATATCAGAGAGACGCTCAAAGTTTGAGGCGGTGGATATACAATTATTTGCCGTCTTCCGTGAAAGAGCTCCAGCCCGAGACTCTCAGAGCTGCGATCCGTTCGGGCGACCCTTGGCTGGTAGATTTTTACGCCCCTTGGTGTGGTCATTGCGTTGCTTTCGAGCCCGAATTCATTTTAGTCAGTCAGGTAAGAAACTTATCAATTAGAAAAAAGAGAGAGAAAGAGAAATATTTAATTCTTAACTCTGTTTGTTTTAGAAACTCGAAGGGAGAGTTTCAACCGGTAAATTGGACTGCGAACGGTTCTACACTTTCTGCCAGGGCATCGGCATAAACAGTTATCCTACATTAAAACTGTTTTTTAAACCTTTCAGCGAACAAGGTTTAATAGTAGAAAGCCAGAATCCTTCTGTCATAATTAATACAGTTAACATGTATCTTGGGCACGATGGACATAATGCTCATGATGAACTTTAATTTGATTTTAGCTTGGAAAACTAGGCAACAATTGGATCGCTGTGTAACATTTATTTTTTATCACAATTTGAACTTATTTATTATTATTTTTTATATGTTCAAAATTTATATAAAACGTTTCTTTTAATTTAATAAACAATACTTTTTTTTTTTTAATTCAATAATGGATAATTTTTTTCTTCCTTGTGAAATAAAATAAAATTTAAAAATGCTTATAATACCCATTCTTTTGGATGTAAGAAGTTTTAAAAAAGTTGTATCTGAAGTATGGAGGTCAAGTAGAAATGATCAAGAAATAAATTACGAGTAATAATCAGACAGTGCGGCATAAAACAATTGTTTCTCTTTTGTACATTATTTCATAGAAGCGTCAAAGGAAGTCTTTAGTGAATAATTTCGGATAACTCGGTCATGGAGAATGAACTTACAATTTGTTAATGTGGTTTATGCTACCAGCATACAATTATTGTTGCTTTTTTTTACATTCTTTCATAGAAGCGTCAAAGGAAGCCCTTAGTAAATAATTTAGACTACTCGTTCATGGAGAATGAACCAACAAATTCTTAATCTAATTAAGCTACCAGCGTACAATTATTTTGGTTTTTTTGTACATTGTTTCATAGAAGCATAAAAGGAAGTCAGTTGGGAATAATTTTTTGGCAACTTTGGCACGGAGTATCAACTGAGAATTTATGCATATAATTCATGTTACCAGCGTAAAACTATTGTTTTTTCCTTTGTACATTATTTCATAGAATTGTACTCATAGAATTGTGAATAATTTTGGACAATTCGGCCATGAAGAATGAACCCACAATTAGTTAGTGTAGTTTATGCTACCAGCATATAGCTATTGTTTTTCTTTTGTACATTCTTTCATAGAAGCGCCAAAGGAAGTCTTTAGTGAATAATTTTGGACAACTCGGTCATGGAGAATGAACCAACAATTTGTTAATTGGTTTATGCTACCAGCATACAATTATTTTGGTTTTTTTTTGTACATTGTTTCATAGAAGCATAAAAGGAAGTCAGTTGGGAATAATATTTTGGCAACTTTGGCACGGAGTATCAACCGAGAATTTGTGCATATAATTTATGCTACCAGCGAAAAACCATTGTTGTTTTTCCTTTGTACATTATTTCATAGAATTGTCAAAAGAAGTATTTTGTGAATAATTTTGGACAATTCAGCCATGAAGAACGAACTAACGATTTGTTAATGTAGTTTATGCTACCAGCATACAGCTATTGTTTTTCTTTTGTACATTCTTTCATAGAAGCGTCAAAGGAAGTCTTTAGTGAATAATTTTGGACAACTCAGTCATGTAGAATGAACCTACAATTTGTTAATGTGGTTTATGCTACCAGCATACAATTATTGCTGCTTTTTAGTACATGCTTTCATAGAAATATCAAAGGAAGTCAGGAGGGAATAATTTTTTGACAACTTTGGCATGGAGAATCAACCGAGATTTGTGCATATAATTCATGCTACTAGCGTAAAACTATTGTTTTTTCCTTTGTACATTATTTCATAGAATTGTCAAAAGAAGTATTTTGTGAATAATTTTGGACAATTCAGCCATGAAGAACGAACCAACAATTTGTTAATGCAGTTTATGCTACCAGCGTACAACTATTGTTTTTCTTTTGTACATTTTTTCATAGAAGCATCAAAGGAAGTCTTTAGTGAATAATTTTGTTAATGTAATTTATGCTCTTTCTTATTATGTTTCTTTTTTTTCTTATAGACCGTGAGTTTCTTTATTTAGATTGTAACTACTTGAATGCCAGGGATCACTTTTTCTATAGTAACTATAGGAATTTTGGCGAAAAACTGCTATTGCATTTGACTGTGTCGAAAATTTTGAATTTTTTTTCCAATTTGACTATCTAGTTGAATCTATGATAACGGTTCATCTCTAAGGTGAGACTTTACTCCATCTGTTGGCGGAGTTTTTAAATTTAACCGTGCCTTGAAAAAAAAGTCCCACTTCACAAAGTTCTGGACAAACAACTGTTTCTCCCCTTAAAAATCGAGCGGAAACAATTTCCCAAAAATCCAAACAGGCAAAAAAAAGGAGAGAAAAAAAAGTGGTCGGATCTTCGTCTTTGGGGTAACCACAAAGTAACGTGTCCGTCGTTTCAAGAAGGCAGCCGGGTTCACGTCAGTTCTGGGTTTATTGCATTCAAGATGGTGGTGTTGTGCCAAGTTTCAACATTCCAGTGAAAGAAAAGTATTTTGATGCTGGTGAGATCATATTTTCGACCAGCAGAATCCCTACGCCGTCATCTTCAGTAGAGAGGAGGACTTACGGGCCAGTTCGAGGATATAATGCTGGTACAAGAGCCTGTTCAGGTACGGTCACGGTTCTGCAATTGTTTTAGTTTAAAAGTGTCCAGTTTTTCTATTCCCGATGACACGGGATTCGCAAAAGGAGGATTTGAGGGCCGTTTTGGAGACGCGGTCCGTAATAGCGTAATAGCCGGCCAACGTTTCTGGGCAAAATCCGTAATAAGAAAAGCTTCTAAAGCAGGATAAGACATCCTGCATCTTATGTTGAAGCAGCTGAACACAGATAATCCGTCCGAGGTTGGGCGATTTAAAAAAAAAAAAAAAAAATAGGAAATTTACACACTTAAAAAAAATCTCGACTCAACAAAATAAAGTCAATTAAAGAATCATAGAATTAAAAAAAAGTATTAAAAAATGATATGTCAAGGGAGAACAAAAACTTAAACCAAGTTTTTATACTTTCCCCTGATTTGAATTAAAAAAAATTGATACTGTTGAACAATATAAGTTTCTCAACATACCTCATCTATCACAATCAGTCTCAACCGGCCTTAATTGAAAAGTCTCAACTTTTTCTATAGTTTGATAGTTTACCTTGGACCGCTTATCCTCGCTGATTTTGACTGTCGCGTTTTGCCATGTTCAGCATTGAGCTCAGGTTAAAGGTGAAATTAAAAAAGCCAAAGGTCGTAAAAACCCGACAGCCCTCTCACCGTACGCCTTGCTGCTTAAACTTGACAGACACCGAAGATGGGCGAAATGCGACGGACAAAATCAGCGAGGATAGCCGGACAGTAACAAACTACAGGTTCATCACACCCCAGACTGAAATCTTACGACTGAACTGTTTCATTAAAATCAGACACGCCCGAAAAAAAAAAAAAAAAAGATTATAGGTTGAGATTCAAACCATTGATTAGCTAATTACCGTAAACTGGTACAAACCGCCAGCGGGTGACAAATCGGAGAACAAGTAGCGCGAACACGCTTAATTTTGTACTTAAAATTGATAAGATAAGAATTTTTCGCCTGTTTATTATTTCAACAGTCAAAATTTAATTAAATTGAAATTTTTTCTTTAGGTCGAGGTGATCAAAGATTCTTTTCCGGTCGACAGAACAGTCAAATCGATGACACATTTTGGCTTATTCTGACAAATTTGTCGGGCTTTTGAGAAATATATACCGTTGATCAAGACTAAAACTATTTGTAATGTCTTAAATATTTGAAATTGTGGCTTTAATCAAAACTTTTACCCTCAGGCATGGAACCACCGCTATACCTAAATCTCTTTATAGTTAACCAACTACCTTGGACTGTATATCGAAAAAAGACTGACTTGGAATCCACATACAAGACTAAACAGGAACTGACATTACACAACACTCCCACTCCTAGACAAATGATCAAAACCGCTTCAAAACAAAAGAACAGATATATGAGATGATAATTAAACTCATTTGGACGGCATTGAACTGTGGGGTTCAACCAAGCATTCCATTTTTCATCCAGATTTCCCAATCCAAAATCCTCTGTAAAACAGTAATGCTCTCTTCTACATATCTAATCACACAATCCTCAATATTGAAGAAAAAAGCAAATTCAGTTATTACCAAGCTTTCCCGAACCCATCTGTCACCTAGGAACCCACACTCGATGATACCTCGGACAGAAGGATAAAAAGAAAATGAGGGAACAATGGAACTCACCCAATGGACAGAAATGATCCAAGAACTTCCGAACAAGTTTTGGAAGGAAAGAAGTAATAGAATGTATCAAAGTAAGCAGGAAAAAACAGCAAGTCCTAACAGGATTCTTAACAGGGCCCTGCAAACTAAACAGACATTTAAGAAGATGGTACAACCCAACATGGCAGGGCAGGTTCTGCAAAAAAGCAGAGGAGACACCGACAAACCTGTTAACAAACTATGGCGCTACCAGGCCTACTAATCAAATTCCGTGATGAAATAGGACTCACCGGTGTGCTACAGGCACAGAATGGGGTTTACAAAAGCTCTTAAAGGGCACAATATATCACACACCACGACTAATACCTCGATATCTACCAATCTTTCGACATACTTTAAGCTCATCGTCATCAGGGCAAAATATTCTTAATCAATATGTGTGAAGTCAAACTGTAGACATACTTAATGATTTTGTCCTGATGATGACCTCAAGACAGGTCACAAGCTTGGCAGTAACAATTGATTTTGCTTTTTCTTAAAGACCATACCTTGATCTAGTGTTCGTGAGTGCAAAAATGGTCAATATTTCTAATACTGAAGACAGTTTTACTTATAGATAATTTTTTTCTCTCAAAACCATCATGATCATTCGTGTTGATTCACTGCTTGAGATGAGCCATCATCATAGCTTGGATGTATCGAGGCCAAAAAGATTTCCCAATTTCCCTTCAACTTTCCAAGCAAAGATTGGTATAATAAAGTAATAGGTAGTATAAAAAATTGACATTGCTATAAAAAGGGGAAAAATCATGAAGGCAACAATATTGATTTATGTTTAATTATCATATTCTCCTTATTTGCAAGAGGGAAAATGAAAAAAAAAGGAAAATTCGAAAGGTTGTAGGTTGAGATGGTGAGTTGTTGCCCGAGTGGATTGAAGTCACGACAGAAGTGGTTAGAGCAGCGGCGTATTGAGCCACTAATTACTTATTTCAATTAATGAGTCTTTTTAATGTAAGGTCTTGATTAAGATGCAAAAGTGTCACGAGTGGGATTTGAACCCACAAAAAATGGCAAAAAGTGGGAAAATTCGAAAGGTTGTAAGTTGAGATGGAAAGTTGGTGTCTAAATCAGAGTCACAATAGCTAATGTGGGTAGAGCAGCGGCGTATTTAGCTTTGGCTCATGGCTTCGAATCCCGCTCGTGATGCTAGCTTTTTCATCTCAACCAAGACCTTATATAAAAGAATATTTATTTACAAGGCTTATTAATTATTAGATCATCCTACTTGACTGCGATTTTAAGAATCCAGTATGAGTAGAAGAATGTTTTCCAGCATAAATAAATCCTTGTTAAATGTTTGCTAAAGTGTAGTATTGCTCATTTTGGTCTGTGGGTCAAAGCCGTTTCTTTACTTTGATGCCCAAATAAAACATCTCCCTGTAAGTATATACGTAGCAACGTTAATGATAAATTGTTTGCCTCGTCAAATCACAAGGTTAATACATTGCCCTGTTTTGAAAAGAATACACCAAGAATGAAGGAGTATCAGTATTTTTTTTTCCCAGATCGATTATTTGTCTAGGATTGGTCTGGCGTCTCTAAAGGGTTAAAGCTTGTTTGCTGATGATTAGGTCGTTCTTTTTGATGTCTATGTAAAGCAGACAAGAAGCAGTTTTATGCTGTTAGCATAAACTAGATTTTTAAGTAAAATTTTGATGCGCGTTTGCTGGACATTAACGTATTCTCTTTGGCATTTATGTGGAACAGAGTAAAAAAACTATGGAAAGTAGAAATTTTCTGTGTTTTTATGTAGTTGTTCCTTGGAAGTTTGATAAGAAAACAGTCTTTTAATAACTTATACCTTGAATATAATTTTTTTAATAAAAACAGCTTTTAGTGAAATAATTAGCATAATTAATTTATAATACGCACTGAACTTTTTCTTTATTGTTAACTATTTTTTATTTTTTTTATTTTTCAGGCTGCTATATGGCATTGCCTTAATCATTATGCATACAATGATGCCATTTTTCTTGCTGAAAGATTGAGAGCTGAAGGCAAGTTTTAACTAAAATATTTCCTCTTTTAAAATTTGGCTATTCTGATTTTTGTAAATTTTACAGTCGAGACCGAGGAAACGATTTGGCTCTTGGCCACCTGTTATTACAGGAGTGGTAAACTAGCACAGGCCTATTCTTTGCTAAAAAATTCCAGTTCTCCTCAATGTAAATTCCTTCTGGCCAAATGCTGCATAGACTTGCAAAAGTAATATTTTTTTTTTTTTAAATAGATTTTGTGTACTTAATTCTTAATTTTTTCTTTTAGAGTGGCGGAGGCTGAGAGTGTAATAATGGGCGGGGAACTCGGCAAAGCCCGGAATCTCGAAGAGGTCGCGACCGAGTACGGCGACATCAGTTCGTTTGCGCTGACACTCATAGCGACAGTCTGCTTCCAAACCGAGCGCCATCAGAGGGGTGTGGACGCCTCTCGCAAGGCGCTGTTGCTCAACCCGTTTTTATGGACGGTGTTCGAGACACTGTGCAAAAAAGGCGACCGGCCCGACCCTTACAAGACTTTCAACCCGAACTCTCTTGAAAGCATGTCCACAGTCACGGGCTCGAACCCGATTATCAACTACGTCAATTCACAAGTGATTTTTGAAACCCCGGTCCTTTACAACAACTCATCACAGAACAACATACACCACGATAACAACGTTAACATCAGGTAAATTTTAAAATTTGATAGAATTTAAATAAAGTTTTAACATTTCCTGATCAATATAATTGAGCGTTTTATTTATTTTTCAAGTACGCCAATACAAGTAGTCAACATGGGGAATTTATGTATGTCTGGTATAAGAGCTTTCTCACCAGAAAGCCCACTTCCAATACCTCTCCCACCAGTCACCCGACCTAAACGGGCAATACGCTATAGAAATATTTTCCCCAGTTCATTAAGCCCTTTAACACCTAGGTGAGCTCTCATTTCATTACAATTACTTATTCTAATATTGGCTTTTATTTATTTAATAGTCTATTTAATTTTTATTGTTAATCTAGTTTTGGAGTGATACCCTTAGATTTATCACCTTGTAATGACAACTTTATATCACCTGTGAATACCCTGTCAGAAGTGAACGAACAGAAAGTAATCCCTAAACGAGTAAGTGCTATAATTCAATTTTGCCTTTTATAAATTATTTTATGATATTTTTTTTTTAAAGCAATTATTGAGAAAGGATACTCCTTTACAACAGTCCAAACCAATTTTTCACCAGTCAAATACACCAGGTGGTGCTCCGTCTCCGACGATTCACGTTCAACCTTCTGTTAGGAGGTCTTCTCGTTTGTTTTCAAATAGTTACGCCGTTAAAGTAAGCCTGGAAAGAAAATTTTAAGAAGGAGGATTTTTAATTAATTAATTTTTTTTGTAAACCTCAAAATAGGAAAACACCAAGTCACCGAATAGGAACAAATTTGCCACACCAAATTCGCCTTCTAGGAAAACTAAGTGTAGGTTAGCTAAGCAAGCACTCTCCCGTTCCAATTGTTCCGAGCTGAACGAGCGGAACCGCAGTGTAGAGACAATAATCGAAACGCCTGTGATAACGGAAGCGACTAAAAAGGAGAATAAAAGTGCGACTGAACAAGCTAAGCTTTTACAGACACATTCTTTAGGTAAGCAGTAAGATTTGTTTAAAAAAAAAGCTAAAAATTAAGAGGTTTTGTCTATTACAGTGCCTGTGTTGTATTTGTAAAAGTAGTGGGTTCGATTCCAATAATCATCCTTTCAGATGTTAATAAAAAAAAGGTGTTAAAATAAATGATTAAATACCACTCCCCCAGCATTGTAAGGTATTGTGTAACCCTGGAGACAGGAGAGGAAAGCTAGGGAAAAGAAATCAGCCTAGTCAGGACCAATGTTGGTCAATGAGGGTTGGTTTTGTATAAGAAAATGTTAACTATGTTATAAAAAAAAAAATCGGAGTTTTGGAGTGCCTGCAGGTAGGAAAGGAGCGGACAGAGTTAGATAAAAGGGCAATGACTGGTAGACAAATTGAGTCAGCCAGGCCCGAGGAGTGAGAGGAGAATTTTCTCACCGTCCGGAGAGAATCAGGAGGTGAACAGACCAAGAGGCCTGAGATGGAAGGAGAGAGGACGTTGGCAGTGTGTCGGGTTTTCCTCCTTTTGTAGCAGAAGCCATCATGGAGTGCTGGAACCGTTTTGTTGTATAATTCAAGAGTAGTTTATTATTTTTTTAATTGAACACAAAAGTGGTGCTCAGCAATCTCCAGGGGTTCCAAGGGAAGATGAGATCATTAAGTTTTGGCTTTCCTCTCTTCTCCTGTGCTGGGGAGTTGTATTATTATTATTTTTTTTAATTATTCATCTTTGGCACTTCCTATTTATTTTTGTCATTTGACACTGTCCATAAGAAATAAATAAAAAATAAATAAATTAATTAATTTAAAAAAATTGGCCACTTCGTTTTATGGGGAGTTGTATTATTATTAATTTTTTTTAATTATCCATCTTTGGTTCTTTCCTATCTATTTTTGTTATTTGACACTCCATAAAAAATAAATTAATTAATAAAAACAAATTGGCCACCTCGTTTTTACAAAATGGACAAAAACTTTGTAAATGCATATTTTTCTTCAGCCTTTCAACTCATAGTCCTGTGCGAGGTCTCATTTTAAAAAAAAAAATATGCTGAACAAGAGAGCTGTTTGTAAAATGTTTACCTAACTTCAATCATCAGTAAATTAAAAAAATCTGGAACTTGTCAATTTTGGCACTTTTTACAAACACTTCAAATTGAGTTGTGGAGCCAGGAAATCGTCCTTGAGTGACGCCCTGTAGCAATCGATAGGAAATTTTAATAATCTTTCAATTGATCACCTTCCACTTTGCCTGATTTCTTAATCATTTTTGAGTTACATTTTTTGGGTCCTGCTCATGGAAAAAAACCTTTTGTTTCAATACATTATTCGAAGCCAAACTGCAACAAGGCCTGTGAAATTGGAAGGAAAATTTGAATTTCCGTTAGGAGGTAAACAAGTGGTTATCGACAGCAGAAGCATTCAGCATCACAAAAGGTCAAAGTAAGAAAAAGTGGGAATTGTCGATTCCCTGGTCATATTTTTGAAAAAGTCCTCGGAACCAGGGTTCAATTTGAAGTTTTTGTAAAAAGTGTCAAAATTGACATATTACAGAATTTTTGAATTTGATGAATGACTGAAGCTAGGCAAACATTTCAAAAAGACATCTTTTTCAGCGTAAAATTTTTGAAAAAATGAGACCTAGCGCAGGTCTGTGAGTTGAAAGGCTGAGAAAATATGTATTTATTTATTTTTTTATGGGCAGTGTATTTATTAAAAACTTTTTTTTATTTATTTCTTAATTTTTGGTTGACAGGTAATTATTCTTTCCTACTCCCTCTCTTCCACTTAGTAATGGTCATACTTTTGTTTCCTAAAACACAATTTCTTTGTTAATTTGAATATATTTAATTATAATCAATTTAATTTATATCATGTGCAACATAAGAACTTTAATGGTTTTTATTTATGCTTTCTTAACAATTTAATTTGTTTTTCAAGAGGGCCTTTTGCTGTTAATGAGCACATTGGGTCAAGGTTATCTTCATTTGTTACAATTCGACTGTAAAAAGGCGATAGAGATATTCAATTCCCTTCCGCCGCATCATCGTAACACCGGCTGGGTGCTGGCAATGCTGGGCAAGGCTTATTTCGAAATGAACGACTACAAGAAAGCCTGCAGGTATTATTTTAGAAAATTTTATTGTCAACACGGCCCTAATTTTTTATTTTATTTTTTAATTCCCTGTCCAGTATGTTCATGGAGGTTAGGAAACTCGAGCCAGAAAGGTGTACCCAGATGGAAATATTTTCCACGGCCCTCTGGCACCTGCAGAAAGATGCAGCGTTGTCGTCTTTGGCGCAGGATCTCGTCGCTTTAGACAAACATACCCCAGAGGCGTGGTGCGCTGCTGGTAATTGTTATTCGTTACAAAAGGAACACGATGTCGCGATTAAATTCTTCCAAAGAGCCGTACAGGTAATTTAATACAATTCACCATTAAAAAAAAAGTTTTTTTAAACTTTTTTGTTTTTAGGTGGATCCAAATTTTGCTTATGCCTATACCCTTCTTGGTCACGAGTATGTCGTGACTGAAGAATTGGATAAAGGCATGAGCTGTTTTAGAAACGCCGTACGGCTTGACGCAAGGCACTATAATGCTTGGTCTGTATTTATTGTTCTATACTATTAATAATTCGTTTTTAATCACGCTAAGCTCGGCCATTTTTGAAATTGTCTCTTTTTAATCTTTCTCCAGGTACGGGATCGGAACGATATATTCAAAACAGGAGAAATTTCTCCTCGCCGAGCTCCACTACAAACGAGCGCTCTCGATAAATCCCAATAGCTGTGTGCTAATGTGCCACATAGGAGTTGTAAGTTGAAACATTTCACTCCTATAAAACAGGAGTAATAAAATTTAATAGCATGTCTTTAGAATAAAATGAAACTATTGGGAATGTTAAAATTAAAAACAATTTCTATGAAACAAGATTGAAATAACAATTTTAAAAATGTGATGAATGGGTAATCAGAACTTCGTTCACAAATTTAGATAGTTAATAATAAAAATATTAAGTATAATTGACATTTACTGTTAACAAAAGGTGAAGGAGAAATGTTTCAGGATTTTTTTTTAACTTTTAAGTCAAAATTTATAAAATTGAAATTTTTAAGGTTCAAATGGCATTGTCGAGAAAGGATGAGGCTTTGGAAACGCTGAACAAAGCGTTGCAGCTTGAGCCGAACAATCCTCTGTGCAAGTTCCACCGTGCGTCAATACTCGCTTCATGCAATAGGCACCATGAGGCGCTCACGGAACTCGAAGAGCTCAAAGAACTCGTTCCCAAAGAGAGTCTAGTCTATTATTTAACAGGAAAAGTGCGTCGAATCGGGGAAAATCGTTTTCTAAATTTTAACGATTTTTTTTTTGTCCCAGGTGCATAAAAAACTTGGGAATACCCATTTGGCTTTGATGCACTTCAGCTGGGCGACAGATCTCGATCCGAAAGGTGCTTCGACGCAGATAAAAGACACAGTTGACACGGGGATATCGCACATACACGATATCGGTTTGTTTAACGATTTTCCCCCCATGATTATTTTTGTATTATAAATGTTTCATTTTTGCCAATAGGAGGTGACACGTCTGATGACCTTCTTCAAAGGACTCCGCCGCAAGAAGTGGTGGGAGAAGTCGTGCCTGAAAATGATGATGGTTTCTAGTATGTAGAACCGTTTCTTTGTATTGGCGTTTGGTACTAATTTTTTTCCCCCCAGGCCCACCAGGAACAGGGAGGCTTGAAGGCCGGCCTGTCGAGAGAAATCGCATAACCGAGACCGGTGCCGACTTGGCAGCGACAACAGAACTCCAGCGGAACTGGATGGAACGATCCAAATATAACTATCCAATAAAACGAACCTTGCCTAGCTGCCAGGATATAAAACGAAGAAATTCTTTATTTGTGTTTTACCTTTCATTTAGGTGAATTCCCAGAGATGAAGAAATTACCTGAGAACTCTGTAAATAGACTTTTTTCCATATACATAAACCTTAAACAAGAAAATGTTGTATAATAAGTTAACTATTTATGATTTATATTTGAGAGTGTCTTGAATATTTATTTTCTGTTGATCTTTTCCCCCCTCAAATTAATATTTTAAAAAAATTATATTTACCTATAAATATTTTAAAATATAGAAATTAGAAATTATTTATAAATAATGTGATATTGTTAGATTTTGTAATTAAGTAAAAGTAAACAAACCTCTAGAATTACAATGGTGCATGCCAAAGTGCGCCAAAGTATATCTGTAAATTTAAAAAAAATGTTCTTAACTTAATCAAGGTGTTTTTTAAAAAACCCAAAAATTTGTACAAAACTATTAAAAGAGACAAATGAATGTAATAGTGAACAATACTTGTAAATAACCAGTTTCAAAAAAGACTTGTAAATTACAAAATAATAAAATCAATTTAAAATATAAAATAAAAGAAATTTGTAGATTAAATTTAAGAGATGTAACATACGAACACTGTCTTTTAATTTAATATTTTTAAAAAAGGTGCAAACTTTTGTAATCCGATGGTGGTTTTTAGCAATGCAAATTTTTTTTCTATTAATTATTATAGTCAATACTTTGGTGATTCAATTGTTTTTTAAAACCAGTTCTTGTAATACTGTTAAGTTTGTAATTTTTTTTAACACTTGAGTCAATAGATTTAATTATAATTTCAATAGAATATTATGTTGGAATTCATTCCTATCTTTATTTTCTTCCCAGCAGGCTGGGCTTGTAAAAGTGTTTTTTTTTAAAGTTAATTTCAAAATAAATTTGATTCTTTTTTTTATGAAGCTCATGATTCATAAATAACATTGCCAATAGAAATAATTTGGAATAAAAGAAAACTAAACTTAGGGGATTGTTATTGCAATAATAAACCTATTTAAATATATGTACAATGGAGAGCCAGTAACGTAGGTTGAAGTTTTTTTTTAAATTTTACACAAAATCTTTTCATCCTAGAAATCTTCCTGGTTTTATATTCGTTTCTTTTTACGCTACGGCGTTCATGAAAAAGTTGTACTCCCTTATACTTCAATTGCTTTAAGAACTTACCTCGACTTCATGTTTTTTAAACATAAACCACAGGCCTAATCATCAAGTTGTGTTGATAGTATAAAAATCACAAAATATTGTGACGAGGTGATACGACTTATCAGTGATCTTGGTTTTTTTTGTGTATACTCGATTTTTAAACTAACGGTCACATACACAATTTTGGGATTGTATTTTTTCTGTTTGACTTTTCCAGTGATTTTCGAAGTTTTAATGAAGAGTTTTTCTTTTTTTGGAACAACTTGTTTTAAATATAAATTATTTAATTTGTCGGATTCGTGAGGAGCGGTCGAAAATAAATTATTTATTTATAATAGTGAACCTTTTAATGATTTGTTTTCATTTTTAAACGAATGTCTCGTTCTTTTCCCGCAATGGCAACGCTGCGGTGCTTTTGAACTGAACTTGAGCACTTGAGGCTTCTTCCACCGCAAAATCTTTGGGTTGCGTGTTTCTTGTTCTCTTAATAACAATTTGACAACCTGAGTTACCTTTGAGAGGTTATCAAGAATAAAATAGACAAAATATGATATAGACAATAACAAAGATGCAAGAAAAAAAAAGAAGAAATTTTGCTTAAAGCACAGAGGGCTTGATGTTTGTCGGCCTGTTAAAATAATACATAAAAATTTATTGACTTCTAAGTTATTCATTGTTAAATTAATATATGGTCTTATTTGACCAGTTGTAATGATAAATAAATGTATAAAAAAATTTGTCTAATTTTCTTAATTGATTTATTAATTAAAAATTAATGTGTTAAATCCTGGATAGATTATGAATTGATTTTGGCATTAGTTTTACACTGGGCTTGATTGTTGTTGTTTTTTTAACTCGTAGATTTTTGTTTATAAACATTTAATTATTTTTTTCTAAATAATGCACATACAGTAAAAAAATTATATAAAATTAAGCCTTATAATATTATAAAAATAAATTCAGCAGAACATTTCGGTTTTTGGGTCGTTCCAGATCAGCTCGAATGTGTCCATGGCATTCTTCACGATATCCTTCTGCGACGTTACAACAAGGTTGTCCCAGTTGCCGTACATGCCTAATAATACGGTTTAAGTCAAATAAATTCGCTAAATACCAGGGGAAAACGAATATTTACCCTGGACAGTCCAATTGACCGAGCCTGTCATTACTTTCCATTTGTCGATTATCGCTATCTTGCTGTGCATGTGGTAATTGAGCAGCGGGATTCTTACGGCTACGCCTGATTAAAAAAAAAAAAAAGTAAAATTTTAAATGCGAATCGCTTTACATTCGTTCTTTTACCTGCTTCGCTGATGGTGCGCACCTGAGATCCTTTGTTCGTCGACATCTCGTTGTCGCAAATGACACGCACTTTGACGCCTCTCTTCTGGGCATTGATGATGCACGTAGCGATCTCCATGGACGTTAGCAGGTGGATGCATACGTCCAGAGACTGTCTACAGCTCTCAAGACAGTCCATGATGTATCTGAAATTGTATAAAATTTCCTCTGACAATCTCTTGAAGGTTAGATTCCAACAATGGGTCTCAAAATAAGAAAAAGCTTGGTGAACGGTTAAATTATATTATTAGGACAATTAAACCATTCTATAACAGGTTAATTTTAAGTTATGAACCTAAAGAGCAAAAACAAAAAAGTTTCTACATGATTAAACAATAATTTGAAATTATGTATTTAGTAGTCAAAATTGGCCATAGTAATTATTATACTTTTTATTTAAGGTCTTGGTTGAGATGAAAAGGCTGAAGTGGTTAGAGCAGCAGTGAATTGAGCAGAAGGTCGTGGGTTCGAATCCCGCTCGTGACACTAGCTTTTTCACCTCTCCCAAGACCTTAGATAAAAATATTAATTAATTAAAATAATTTAACAATTACAGCAGTTCAAATAGTAGCAGAGATAGTTTTCATAGTAAACATTGTAATGCATAAAGAAGAATGATTGGGTATAACAGACCTGCTTTAATTTTGTGTCTATGATGTCTTAGGTTAGGGTTAAAAATTAAAATAAATCATGATTTTATATTGGTCTATTGTACAATTTCCGTTATTGTCTAAAGCTCTTCATTAATCTTAAGGCTTTTTATTCGATCTCAAAGCTTTGTCAAGGGGTCCCAGATGAATCCTTCAGGCCTTGGCTTTTTATCCTCCAGGAGATGAGTAGGAATCTGCTTAGGCCTTTGAACCAACAGAAAACATTCTACATTGTCTCTTATTGGCAATATCTGTTTCTGCTGCTCTGAGTCTGTAGTATCCAGTCAGCAGTCCAACTATCATTCTAGTCCTGACACATCAGGTTTAGTAGTTCTGCTGATGTCTCAGGACAAAACAATTGTGTGGCGCTGTTTGCTGCAGCTTTCGATAGTTCGATAGACGGCTGGTGGCTAAGGCTCTTCTGTACCCGCCAGGGTACCATCCCTGATCTGAAAGACAGCCACCTCATTTCTGTATGGTGAATCAAGGAATGATGAAGACTTCCCAATCATCACACAGTATTGTGAAAAGAATTGATAAACGGCCGCGACTTGATATAATTAATCATTTGAACAGATCCAAAACTTTCTTAAAAATGGATGGCATTTGTTTAATAGCTGAAGTCTGTGGAAAACATAATGACTGCTGCAAAATAAAAAAAAAACTTTCGTTTTCAGTACTCATTTTTATTGGTTTTTCTAGATTTATTTTTGTAAATATTATTTTTTGTCAAAGTTTGCCAAGGACCTTCCATGGACCACAGTTATGAAGCCGCGCAGGTCGTAGGTTGAGAAAGCTCCTGCCAGTGTGAGCTACGCAGAAATAGAAATACGCAAAACTGGAAATGGATCGAATAAGTTTCTGAATCCAATTAGAAATGTCTTTATTACAATAATAAATATTTACAGGAAAATAGAAAAGTGGAAGTTAATTTTTTGGCGCGAGGTGCTGCATGTCGAGTTGGCTTTGGGCGATATCAGCAAGTGAAGCTTGGACCTGTTCAAGGAGAATTTCACCACGTCGTACAACCTCGTCCAGACGTTCTGCTGCTTCTTGGTTGTCTTGCTCGAGACGTTTGAGGCACTGGAGCTGGAGGTCGTTGGACGACTCGTCCGAAGGAAGAGACTCGATCAAGGCGTCTATGTCCTTGGCGCAGCGAGTTATGAGGGTGGCGAATAGCTGGGCGTAGTCGTCCTGCTGTTGCTGCGGAGTCTGAGACCCAGAACGGTCAAAACCGGCGAACTTGGACGGGGTCGAGTGCTGCTGCAGTATACCTATGGAGTTGCAGAAGTACTCCGCTTGCTGGTTCACCGTGTCCTGCAGTTGGGTCAGCCTGTCAGCCATGTCATCTAACCGATGCAGAGAAAGCTTCAGAAACCGTGTTCAAACTTCAACAGAGTCCCTTTTGACCTTTATAGCCTATTGGAGGTTTCAAACACTATGTATCACTACTCACTAGTGTCTTTAATGAAAGTTAAAACAGTTTAGTTGTTTATTTTTGTTTATTTAAAGATAAACAGTTAAACTAGCAGAAAGATGGACTTTTAAATGGTAGCAAAAAATAGATTTTCTTAAATGTAGAATTGTTTTTATTATATATTCAGTTTGAGGTTGCATTGGAACAGGTTGCCCACGTGGTAACTGTCAGTTTGTTTACAGCCTAGAAATGGAGACAAAATGGATAAGTGTCGTCCCCAAATTGAGCGATTTCGTTTTAGAAACCTTGGATCGACTGGGATTCACAACAATGACCCCTGTCCAGGCGACAGTCATCCCGCTGCTATTAGGTAACAAGGATGTCGCTGCAGAAGCAGTCACCGGCAGTGGTAAGACCCTCGCTTTTATAATCCCTTTGCTGGAACGGATGCACAGGAGGGCAGAAGCCTGGAAGAATTTCGAGATAGGCGGTCTGATAGTCTCCCCTACCCGTGAGCTAGCCCAGCAGATCAGCCGGGTGCTGAACGACTTTTTAAAAAACATGACAAACCCTTACAAACAGGCGTTGATCATAGGTGGAACGAAGGTCACCGATGATATAGAAAAGTTGAAGAAAGACGGTGTCAACATTATAATCGCGACACCAGGTCGGTTGGAAGATCTGCTCACCCGAGGCGACATCCCACTGCACATAGCTCTAAAATCAATAGAGATGTTGGTTTTAGACGAGGCCGACAGACTTCTCGAACTCGGGTTTGAGAAGTCTCTCAACACAATACTATCTTATTTGCCAAAGCAGAGAAGAACGAGCCTTTTTTCTGCGACACAGACAAGGCGACTTGAACTTCTAGTACGAGCCGGTTTAAGAAACCCTGTTATAGTCTCGGTAAAACAGTCTTCACAGAAAATATCTACACCGAAGGAGCTGATAAATTTTTACAAAATAATACCACCTAAAGAGAAGTTATCGTTTTTATTGTCGTTTCTTAAAGAGCAAGGAAAGAATCAAAAATACATAATCTTCTTTTTGACCTGCGCTTCTGTTGAATATTTCACGACTTTACTCAAAAGGCTACTTCCGAAGTTTACTTTCTTCGGACTACACGGCAAGATGAAAAAGAAGAGGCAGAAAATGCTCCAGGAGTTTCGAGATGCTGAATGCGGGATCCTGGCTTGTACAGATGTCATGGAGAGGGGTATCGACATACCCGACGTACACTGGGTGGTCCAGTTCGACTTGCCAACTTCGGTTTCTGCTTTTGTCCACCGGTGCGGGCGGACAGCGCGTATCGGTAATGTCGGAAGCGCACTGTCCTTGTTGATGCCGAATGAGGATGCGTACATCGATTTCATCCAGAGGAACCAAAAAGTCCAGCTGGAGGTTTATAAGGATTTAGATAGCAAAGACTTAGACAGGATAAAAAATTTAGCGCAGGAAATGCAGAAAAGCGACAGGGCTTATTTCGACAGAGCCAACCTTGCTTTTGTGTCATACATACGCGCTTATGCAAAACACGAGTGTAATTTTTTATTAAGGGTCAAAGATTTGGACTTCGCAGGCTTGGCTTCTTCCTACGGGCTGCTCCGATTGCCGAAAATGCCCGAGCTCAAGAACAGACAGGTCGATTTCGAAGCGACAGATTTAGACTTCAACACTATTTCGTATAAAGACAAGCAAAAGGAAAACTCGAGAATCAACAAGCTTGAGATCTACAAAGAGACGGGTGTCTGGCCGGGGGTCAAGGCGAAGAAGATGAAACAGTCGACGCCATGGTCGCAGACGAAAGAGAAAAAAGAAGAAGTTAAAGAGAAACGCAGGAAAAAGAGAGAACTCAGGAAGAAGAAAATCGAAGAAGGCAAGACCAAAAAGAAAAGAAAGAGGAAAACGATGACAGAAGATAACTGGAAAGAATTGGAAGATAACATCTCTTTTCTCAAGAAAATGAAAAAGGACAAAAACTTCACTATAGAAGATATAGATTAGTGAAGTTCTATGTGTTTTATTTACTGTATATAATGTATTTACTGTAAATATATATTTTATATTCTCATGCGCCTTTTATTATGTTGAGAAATGCTTTTAATTGTCATATTTTTTAGTGCATACAATTAATTCAAAACTAACTAATAAAATACACACAAGAAACATTATGTAACACAAATATGTTTTTTTTTTTAAACAATGTCAGGCTCACCTTAGCTTCCTGTAAGGGCAGTCGGACTTAAAACACAGCTTCTTTTTGTAGATGTGCTTTTCGCAGTCACCGACGCCCGATGCTCTGAAAAAGAGCGCATCGTTCACGATTGATTTCTGCCTTTTCACCTCGGCTTCGATGTCCCTCAGTGTTTTTTTATAGCTGTGCAATTTGTAAATCGTGTAAACGCCGATTGGAATCGCAACGGTTAAAATGTCCAGCATTCGTCCTTGAAGAATTTGCATTTCACACTGAAATTACATTAAAAAAAAATCAGTTTTTAATCCAAGCACAAGGGTTAAATTATTGAAATATTTTGGATTTGAACACAAAAATAACTTTAACATCTTTTGAATCACATCAAGTCTGAAATATGTCACATTTGAAAGTGAAATCTCATTTTAAAAGTGTAAACTCAATATCACACAATAGATCTGTACTCTATGTTGGCTTAAAAATTTTCAAACCCCACCAACTTAGAGTGATGGACCAAAATCCTAAATAGTCATGAAGCAATTTGTCGTGGCCTTTTCTAACATAGAAATGTCTTTGGTTGGCTTAATCCAAACAAAACCCGTATAAAATATACATCTGCAGCGGAGCCTATGATGTTGGCAAAACAAAATAGAGAACAATAATTAACCAGGGGAGAATCCACATAACATTTTTATAAATTTTGTACATTCATGATCTTCCTGATCATTCAAAACAATTTATTCTGATTAAGAAACAGCAGTATTCTCATTTTTACAACGATAAGCGTAAGTTTTATAAAGAAAGGAAATAGATAGTTGTGTTGAGATGACAACCAGTCCAGCAGGCCATACATAGGCAGTAGGAAATATTATCAAAGTATTAGGCAAGAGGATGGGTACTAACATGGCAGTAGAAATTGCTTTAAGAACTCATGAAATCAAAAAAGCCCTAACTTGATGAAGTATCTAGGACTGTCTCTAGATAAAAGTCTAACTTTAATAATCAAATAGTTGGTCAGTAGTGGTATCCGGTGGTCTGGGTGCGTTTTGTCTGTGTGTCTGTCACTTGCCTTTGGTTGCCAGGCTTGACCCAAATGCTCTACACTGTAAACTTAAAAATCATGAAAAAGAATTATAAAAACGCTCTCATTATCTCGCTCTCATATTAACAGTGTTCAAGTGGTGATAAACTTAGACAATGATGGCCTTAAAATATGCTTACAACATAGACTAACACATCAAATTTCGTTTGAGAAATTACAGTAAGAAAATTCTTGTAATGAGAGGTTTTTCTTTCTTCTAATTTCTAAATTCTTGTACAACTGAGAGACTTCAATCAGTTAATACTTCTTGGGTCATCTCCTGTTCTAAGAATTCTGATTATTGATATTGTAACGCAGAATATTCCAGGTCCTGCAAGTAGTATGGTTTTTTATTCATGCTGGCTCGCCTGGAACTTGAAATTACACTTCTACATACCCGCTTTTAATTTAGCATTGCAATTCAGGTAGCATTGCTTATTTTCTGCTATTGTTGTTTTTTACATGCCTGTGGGTCTGCCTAAGATCCAAAATTTTTCACGGCAGGTAAAGAAATACAATGCTCCAATTCACAACATCGTCGAACCGATAATTTCTAGAAAATAGACTTAGTAAAGGAATTTCAAAGGAATATTGAAAGTGAAAGATATTTGAAAAATATCGAAGAATCTTCTGGTAAGAGATAATTGATGGCTCAAGTGAAAACATGATTTGATGTTGGTCTGCAAGTCAGTGAACTCATGCTAAACTGGCATGGGGTCACGTATTGGGTACATTTTTACTCGCTTGTTATTTATTTATTTTTTATTTTTATATTCCTTACAGCTCAAATCATAGGCGACCAGTTAGAGTAAAAATAAATAAGTTGTATGTAAAATAAATAAATATGCACAATAAGCTATAGATCTAAGAGCACAATGCTGTTTTGCATTTTTTGTTGTACGACCTAAGGCCATTATGGAAAACATGAGTAAATGAGTGCCGTTCAAAAGGCGAGAAATTGTGGACCTGTCAAGCTTGTAAGAGGTGAAAATCCATATGGAAAGGTGAGCTGAGGGAGCATAGAGGATATCCGCAAAGTAAACTGAGTTGTTCAGTACTTTCCTAACCCAGGATTTTCCAAATTTTCCTTCGAATGAGCCCAACACAAAGTCTGTGCGGTAAGAATAGTCATCCAATGAACAATACCCCTGGAAATAAATTGTTAGAAAGCACCCGTACAATCACTGTTTATGGTTTATATATATTTTCTTCAACAAACCCGTCAATGAAGACAGACCTAATGCTGGTTGAGCATCAAGCAAAAACAGTTAAAATATTGCAAAAGGTTCAAAAAGTCAATTAAGTGCCTATACAAGTGCTTCAAGTACTTATAACAAAAAGTCACCTAGCTACTTAGTTTTCCTTAAGTAAAGTCACCAAACAAAGTTTGATTGAGCCAAATTTGAAAATAAAAACAATTAATTGGCCAACCATAATTTTATTAGAAACAAAGACGTAAATTAATATATAATAATGGGATTTGATTTTGGGGTTTTTGTATTAAATGTTAAAAAAGGCATTCACCCTTTGATGAAACGGTCCTTATCAGTTATTTTGATTTAAACGAAGCGGAAGCACGAGCGGTCATCCGAGGCCCTTTTTTTCTCTTTGAAGGCAAAATGTTCTTTTATCGTCGTTCTTTAATAATTGAACCTTAAATAAATGAAAATTTTCTATTTTGACCACAGCTCTTTTAAATTTATGTTGCATGTAACATAATAGGAGGTTATTTTATCTCTTCGGAGGTTATAAGTTGATCTCTTGCTTATTTGGACTTCGGAGCTTGGATACTTACTAGAAGTATTTGACGGGATGGCTTCAGCTTCACCATACGGCAGAGGAAGTAAGATATATACAAAAAATTCATTCTTTATTTACACTGTTTAACTGAACTGCTGCAGGAAGAGAATAACATAAAGTGAATATGATAGACCTCTGATGAAAGAAACCAATATTATAGTTTGTACCACTCATACAAGATTATAATCATAAAAGTCTAGGGTAAAAGATAAATGTCTGGTTGAGGTCTCTGCGAACTTGTGGTTTATAATCGTGATCATTATAATCTGCTTATGTTGAGAATACATGTTCACAAAATTCCTTTTTCTTCAACAAGCACATTTTTTTTTTTCTCTTCTTGACAGTCTGACGTCTGACACCGGCTCGATTGCCTCAGACAGATCCGAGTGACTAGGATTTGACTATCGTCTGGTTGACTGTCCTGGCGTCAACCATTCTCTACAATTGTTGGCACTTCAGCTGCAAAGTTGACACTTTTATCCTCAGTTTAACAGTTGATGGCCCTAGTAACCTTGGCCTGATTGCCTCACATCATTTTGAGTTCCAATTCCAAGTATTAAAATTGGCTAAACCTGCAAGTAAAAGATTGTGTCATCGGCACGTCTAATCCATCTTGATTGTCTTGAATCATTCCAAATCCCTTGGATTCATCATCCTCAGCTGGACTTATTAACAGTCATTGGCTCAACTTTCCACTGATCCACAGTCATTAACACTTGCTTTCAGTTCAGTAATCATTGGCACTTCTATCCTTTGCTCTGTTATCTGAGACTGTTCCTAATTTCTAGGATTGATTATTCCTCTAATTGCTAGTCCTCAGCTGGACAACTCAAGTTAGTGCTCCCTACAATTAATTGACCAATTGTGCTTAGCTCAAAAGTCATTAGCACTTTTTGCTTTTAGTTCGGCAATCATTGGCACTTCTATGCTTTGCTCTATTGCCTCAGGCTGTTCTGAACCCCTAGCATTAACTATCTTCTATAGATCGTCTCCAGGGCTCCACCCAGTCATTGGTTGAACTGTCCTCAGCTCTTTTATACTCTGTTTGACAGTCATTGGCATTTTAAGCACAGCTTGATTGCCTTGGACTATTCCAAATCCCTAGGATAGCAGTCTTCAGCTGGATCATCTTCATTAGTACTTCCTACAATCATTGGCTCTACTCATCTCAGCTCAACAGTCACTAGCTCTTTTGTACTCATTTCGACAATCATTGGCATTTCTAACCTCAGCTTGATTGCCTTGGACTGTTCCGAATCCCTAGGATAGCAGTCTTCAGCTGGATCCACTTCATCCAGTACTTCCTACAATCATTGGCTCTACCCATCTCAGCTCAAAAGTCACCAACCCTTTTTACTCATTTCGACAGTCATTGGCATTTCTAACCTCAGCTCGATTACCTTGGATTGTTTTGAATCCCTGGGATAGATAGCCCTTCAGCTGGATCAACTTCATCAAGTACTTCCTACAATCATTGGTCCAACTCTTCTCAGTTCATCAAAAGTCATTAGTAGTTTGGCAGTCATTGGCATTTCTAAACCCTGCTTGATTGCCTTGGTCTGTCCTGAATCCCTAAGATAGACAGTCTTCAGGAGGAGCATTGGCTACAATCATTGGCTCTCAGTAAATGGCATTTCTAACCTTGGCTCTTTTGCCTGTTGGAGGCCCTTACTGTTCCACCCGATAACGAAGGCTTTCTGGACAGTTCTGTAGCAGTTTGATGTACCTTACTCTTCCTTGAACTGTTCCAAATTCCTAGTTTTGACTAATCTCTGCTTGACAGTCCTCAGCTGACCTCCTACTAGTACTTCCTAGCACATTTGTACTACTTCCGACTTTCAGGACTGTCTAGGATCAGTTTGACTTTTGAACATTTATTGATATTTACAGGTTTTATTTCACATGATTTCTGTGTCTTTAAAATTAGATTTACTGTTGTTTGACCTATAAATCGCTCATATTACTGCCATAATTTAACCGGCATATATATTAATCAATTGATCAGATCTTTCGTTTATAAAACACTCCATATGCATCTGTATTCTGTTTTTTTTAATTTTTATTTTTTTAGGAAGAAAACTTTATTGATCTGTACAAATTATTACAGTTTTGATAAAACAGAAGCTAGTAGCATAACAAGTTATGCTAATAACATGTAATATGTGTAAATGTGCATTCCATTAACTAGCCTTCATCAAAATTATAATTATTGACTTTGTCACTCTCATAATAATTTACAGAAAAAGTACGATTATAATTTATTAATAAATATTGCTGTGTACACATGACTATGTATCGTCAAGCAGGAACCTTGAGGTAACTTTGTCCTGAGTCGTCGGAGGAGTCAAGTCAAGATTTGAGTGATTATTAGATGGTCGTCATCCTCGTGTTAAGTTCTCTATAGGCTTTTCTGGCAACCTGCCTAGATGCCTAGATTCTAGGGATGCCTAGATCTTGGTGCAGGATACTGTCACGGACATACCACGGGGCTCCTGTGATGAGACGTAGAACTTGTATTACCTGTATTTTGTTCAGATGATTGGTTGCAGCTGCTCCCCAGAGTTCACAGGAGTATGTCCTTATAGGCCTAATTATCATTAGGTATAGTAGTTGCTCAGTATTCAAAGTGAGAGGAGATTTCTTGTCTCAGATATCTTATTCTTCTGCAAACTTTAACGACCTGATACTTTATATGTTCAGCCCATGTCAGTTTTGAGTCCAGGTTTACACCTAGGTAGCGCGATAACAAAATAGCCGTACATTTTAGTTATCTTATTGCAGCAGTCACACCAGATCAATCAACAGACTTTTATCAAGGTGAAATTTGCTTAGGTGTTGGCGTCATTGTAACATGTATTCAGGAGTTAATCTGAGCAAAAATTTTTATGAAATTACACTTGCATTTTCTGGCGCTAGGAATAGGCATTTCCATTACATTTAGGGTCTCATTGAAGTGTTTACGATATTCAGTTCTGCTTGTAAATATTCCAGTTCTACTATTTTTTCAAATGCTTGTTCAATTTTTTGTTACCATCAATTTAATTTTTTTGTTTAAATAATTAAAATGTACACATGCAATTATCATTTTTTGTTTGTTTTCAGTCGTCGGTCTTTGGAAGAAATGCTGGGATCAGATCCCTGGAGTGACGATAACTACAATAATGGCAGCCGGTAGCTTAGTGGCAGGCGTGTATGCTGTTTACAAACATGAAAAATCTGGCTGTTTTGACCCAAAATACAAAACGGATTTTGTCAGTGAGTAACAATTAAAAAAAAATTTTTTTGTACATATTTCTCATTGTGTTTTTTCATTTTTAGTTTACAGATCAGACGATCCTAGAGCAAAAAGGCCTACCCGGGAATTCTGAATTTCTGAGAATACAAAGATATCTAGTTGTTAATTTTTAAAGCAAAAAAAGTAATAAATTACAGTTAAACTTTTGATGTGTTATTTTTAACAACCTGTTTAAAATTTTTATACTTCTTGGGAAACTGGGTGGTACTTATATTAAACTTATTGCATCTGTAGAATAACAGAGAGAAAAGTTAATCTGGCAGATAAAAGAGAATAAATTATTCCTAGTTTCCTGTTTAATAATGGGAAATGCTAATGAAAGATCAAAAAATATAATTTTTTGTTATCTTTTGAAAGGAAAGGTTTGCCTTTTCTTGAATGGTCATGCGTTTCCGTCTGAAATTCAGTTTTCTGACTTGAGCAGTGTCCCTTTTAAAAAGTTAAATTTTGACATTTACATTTCTCTCCCCCTCCTCTCGAATAATTTGAAAATTTATACCGAATCCGGCCTTATTATCCCCAAAGGCAAAAGATGGTGAGAATACTGGCGTTCTCTTGGTTTCTAATAGGAACGATGCAGTTTTTAACCACTCAGGTAAACGTTTTCAAGTTTCGATCGATATTGCTAAAGGGGTTAACACGTTTTTCAAACTCCCCAGAAATACACAACGGACGTTTCAATATCTTTAATATGCAGAAGGGAACGCATGCTGATCATCGGGTTGGAAGGTCCTGAGTACAACAATTATACCATTAGCGTTTACGACGACGTTCTGATTCAAAAGAAAGAAGTATTTGACTTTTTCTTAAATATTCCTCAACCATATTCATTTTAAACTTTTTATTTTCATACAGTTTTCAGTTTTGCCCAAAATATACGCTATAAAAAAATTAAAGAGTGACATTTTGTATGAAATACGACTGAATTTTAATTCAAACGACACCGATAGAGAAATTATTTCTCACTTTTCTACTCTCTCTGGTGAATTTCAATTTCATCCCTTCAGATTATTTAAAAAAGTTTGGATTTTTATAATTGCGAGATTTCAGATGATTACAATTTGACGAGGGTGGTTTTTGCAAATTTCACTCAAATCCTGAGCAGAGGATCGCTGTTGTCTTTGATTTTATCCTGGACACCGGGGCCCGGTATGCTTTGTTCCTTTTAATAACGCTGTCATTTATAAAACAATTTTTTTTTTTTTAAATTTCAAGAGCGAATATGCGATTATGACATACTCATATGGGCCAAGGGATACATGCAAGACTTGGTGCAAATTTCTCCAGAGGTGAGAAAACATTTTCTTCTATTCATAACTGGTTTGCCTTTTATTAAGTAATAGTAAAGAAAATGAAATACTTTTATTTTTTAATTTAAATTTTCTGTAATCTTGAAAATTCATCTTTTTCAAAGTTAAATCTGATAAATTTATGCCTAATGAAAGTAATAATTGAAAGTTAAAATTAATTCTATTTGATTTTTATTATCTTAATTTTTATTTACAATTTCACAGTACCACGAGTTATACAATACTGAACTTCAGGATCTTCGGTTTTCGACAAATTACTCGGTCGCCATTTACCCGTACACCGAAGGGCGCGAAGGTCCGAAGTATTGGGTCAATTTCACGACGCCTTCTTGCAACGAGATCAACGATTACAACTATACGATTTGCCGTATGTCGAATCCTGTCGGATTTTATAGATTTAATTATTAAACAATTTTTTTTTTCACTTTAAGAACCGGCCGAACCAGAAGGTCTAACCATCAAAGAGAAAGAATGCAACGTAACCGTAAACTGGTCTCGCCCTTTCGTAAATCCAGACTCGTACGTCTTTGAAATTGTACCTCATAACGGAAGTTACGAACGTTTCCATACTGAAATTAACGGGGTAATTTGTTAAAATTCATATTTTTTCCTCGATTCATAATCGTATGTTTTGTAGAATGAAAGCTTTTTTTCCTTCGATGCCCACAACTACAGCGATTTTTTCACCATTTTCTTGAAAGCCGAAGCCATTTCAGGACAAAGCCAGACTGTTTATAAAGAGCATAAAAATCTATGTTATGAATCAGAAGAAAGTATGCCTTTGCATAAATTAATAATTTATTTACTTCAAATTTTTAATTATGTATATATAGGTAATAATTCAGCGAATTTTAACATGTTATTGCTTTATTATACAATACCTTCTGTGCTGGTCATGGCAGTGACTTTCTCTTTGATCTGTCTCGCAGTAGTTAAAGTGAAAAAAACTATAGATTTAAACACAACAGAAGATGATCCTAAAGTAAAAGAAATGAAGGTATTTAAAAAAAAAAACTTTAATAGATATTTTATAAAAGAATATTATGCATTCAAGCTTCCAAATGAATCAAAATACTTACAAGTGGACGATCTAGAGTATGAAATCCCAAAAGAAAACATAACCCTTTTGGAAGTGATTGGCGAAGGCGAATTTGGCATTGTTCATAGGGCGAAATACACTTATGAGAAAGGCAAACAAAAAGACGTCGCTGTCAAAGTTCTAAAAGGTGATTTTTTATTGTTTTTTTGTTTCGATATAAATAAACAGAACTATTTTTTAGAACATGCGACATATGAGGATAAAAAACAGCTAGAGAAAGAGGTGGAAGTCATGAAAAGGGTCGGAACTCATGCGAACATTGTTTCCCTTGTCGGCTACTGCAGCTCTAATTTTCTTCTTGTCGTTGAATACTGTAGCCAGGGGAATTTGCAGATTTTTCTTAGAAATGTGTGTTTTAAGTTTGCAGCCGTAGTCAGAACGATTTTACCTAAATATTTTCTTTTAAGGTCTGGAAGACAAAGTTGCTTATTAAAGAGTTAAACAATTCAGGTGGTAAGTTTTGTAATATTAAATTTATACTGAGGTAAGTCTCGAATATTTAAAATTTGACAATACTCTATAATCTTTGTGTTTTACAATTAGTTGTACAAATTTTACATGAGAAAGTTTTTCCCCTTAATGTTTTTTAGAGATTCCAAATGACACTGGCGTTTTTAATTTTCTTTATGGCAGAACAGGTAAATTTTTTCTTTTCTTACAAGCATTTGACAATTTTTAACTTAAGATTGATAGATTTAGAAAAGAAACATTTATCCTTGACGACAACAGACTTAATATCCTTTGCAAGGCAGATCTCAATCGGAATGGTAAACAATTATCTAAATCCTCATTACGAAAAAAAAAAAAAAAAAACCTTTCAACAGGAATACCTATCAAGGAATAGAGTAATTCACCGAGACCTGGCAGCAAGGAATGTCCTCCTGACATCAAACCTGACGGCGAAAATATCCGATTTCGGCCTAAGCCGTGATATTTATGAAGAGAACGTCTATAAAAAGAAAACTGTCGCTAGACTACCTATTAAATGGATGGCCATAGAATCATTAGTACACCATATTTTTACTACACAGAGCGATGTGTGAGTTCTTAAAGAATTAAAAAAAAAGAAAAAAAGATTGTTTTAATTTTTTTTAGATGGTCCTTTGGCGTTCTCCTGTGGGAAATTATGACTCTCGGTTGTTGCCCTTATCCGACGCTCCTCTCAGGGAATATATGCAAACTCTTGCTGCAGGGTTACAGGATGGAACGGCCGCCAGCATGCAGCGAGCATCTCTATGATATAATGCTCTCGTGTTGGGACGCAGTGCCGCAAAGGAGGCCAACTTTTAGCACTCTGGTCGCACAAATCGACTCGATCCTTGAAGATGAATCTCCTAATAAGTATCTTCAACTCGACTGCTCACAATACATTGACATGTTTGTATTTTTTCTGTGATCAGAACATATTTCCTTTTTGTATTGATAAATCAAAAAAACACTTCATGTATTTTATGTTGCAGATTTCCTGAGGAATCATTAAAACACAACGAATAACTGTACATGCAATCATGCTTTCATGTCAACAATTCTAAGAAACTTAACACACTAAAATACTCTTCATTGCAATAAAGTTTTCTACATTTTAATAGGTTTTTACTGTATATAAGTCTAGTCATTTAATTAATACCATGATGATTTTTTCCACATTTCCGAAATTTCTTATATTTCTTCGGACAAATCAAGAAATATAAATACGACCTACTATTATTATACTATCAGTGTAAAAGCGCAGCTTAAAAGTATTGTCCAATGGTACAATCATTTATTGAAATGTACAATTAATTTTTACAAATTTTCATGATTTTATAAACATTGAGATGTTTTCTTCGAGGTTCTAGCCAATAGTTTCAAAAATATGTATATAAAAAATCTCACTCAAGAATTTTTGTTTAATTTAATTATTCTCAAATTAAATCAGCCATACGTGATGACGTTACAAGAAGTCAGCTTCATAAGATAGCTTAATTTATTGCACTTTCTGATTCTGCTTGGAAAATTTGAAAATGAGATTTTCTTAATGACCATAATCAGCAAATTCAACAGTTTTATATGATTTTCAATTAATAATAAATGGATAGATTTTTGTTCTGATTCTGCCAGATTATGTTGAAATGGTACATTTTTTGTCATATAACTAAATGAACCTTGATCAAAGTTCGTCAGTTCAAAAAATGTAACTTTGAACATTTCATAGTTGAAATTGTACATTTTATGTCAGGTAGGTGATGAACTTTGATCATTTGGATCTCAAACTGGTCAAAAAATGCAACTTTGATCAGTTCACCATATCAATGCTGTTCTACTTTTGTCAATTATGTTGAAATGATGCATTTTTTTGTCATGTACTGATGAACTTTGATCCATTGGTTTTAATCTGTCCAAAAAATGTAACTTTGATTAATTGACCATATCAATTCTTTGCTACTTTTGCCAATTATGTTGAAATGTTACTTGAATGAACTTTGATCAATTTGATATCATACTGGTCGAAAAAATGGAACTTTGATCATTTGACCATATAAATCATGTTCTGATATTGTTAATTATGTTGAAATGTGTACATTTTTGTCATGTAATTAATAAACTATGATCAATTGATTTTAATCTTTCCAAAAAATTTAACTTTGATCATTTCATAGTTGAAATTGTTTATTTTATGTCAGGTGGGTGATGAATCAAATTTGATCATTTGACCGTATAAATCATGTTCTGATATTGCCAATTATGTTGAAATGTGTACATTTTTAGTTGAAATTGAACATTTTATGTCTGGTGGGTGATGAACTTTGATCGATTTGATCTCAAACTGGTCAAAAAATGCAACTTTGATCAGTTGACCATATCATTCCTGTTCTGATATTGCCAATTATGTTGAAATGATGCATTTTTTTTGTCATGTTACTGATGACCTTTGATCCATTGGTTTTAATCTGTCCAAAAAATGTAACTTTGATCGTATCATAGTTGAAATTGTCTATTTTATGTCAGGTGGGTGATGAATCAAATTTGATCATTTGATCGTATAAATCATGTTCTGATATTGCCAATTATGTTGAAATGTGTACATTTTTATCATGTAATTGATGAACTATGATCAATTGATTTTAATCTTTCCAAAAAAATGTAACTTTGATCATTTCATAGTTGAAATTGAACATTTTATGTCAGGTGGGTGATGAACTTTGATCGATTTGTTCTCAAACTGGTCAAAAAATGCAACTTTGATCAGTTGACCATATCAATTCTGTTCTCATATTGGCAATTATATTGACACGGAAATTTTTTTGTGAGGAAATGATGAATTTTGAACGATCGATTTTGTTTAAACTGGTCACAAAATGTAACTTTGATCAATCGACCATCTCAATTCTGTTCCGATATTGCATTATTAACTATCGATGGTTGATGTCTGATTCTCTTAGATTTGCACTTTTTGCGGGATATCGGACATTGGTGGATCTTTACCGAGATTAATTTTTTTTGGCACCGTTCGACCCATTCTCACATTCTGCAACGACGGGAAGACACGCCGAGAAAGTCAAGACCACGTGAAGTGGGGATGTGCGCTCAAATGTGCGCGTCGAAAAGGCGTCCCGTTTTTGAAAGTGCGTGTCGACTGCTGCAGTCTTCTCCGGCTAACACTTCACCGCGGATTGCTGCACGCAGACACGCAGACTCACAGAGATCGCCGGCCGGAATCACATCGAATGGACTCGTACGTATAAATTCGTCTTTTTTTTCTCGACATTTCTGCATAATTTTTCTTGCTGAAACAAACCAAGGTAAACCTGTCAAAAAACATAATAATTAACAAATTACAAACATAAATCAAGAAGTTACATAGATTAAGCTATTTACGTTTATGTAATTTTCTTTTCAATATTTCGAAATACAAATTGATCCAATACAAATGCAAAATTTTAAAATATTGTGCACAACGTACATTTAACTATTTTATAATGTATGAACGAAGATTTCATCTAGCCTTGAGTCGAGTACAAACGGGTTGTGATTCAGCATCCTTGGACTTGCTTCCTTTTTTTTTGTAATTTGTTAATTCTTTAGAATAGAATTTCCGGATGAAAAACATCGCGAAATTGTTAAATTTCCAATTTCCACGCTTTGTATGCGCGAACAACGGTTTCACTAATTAAAATCTATTTTTGTTTTCAATCAAAACATAGAAAGTGAATCGTTTGACAGTTCTATGCACTATTGACTGTCAATTTCTTAAGAATAACGAAACCACCATAAGGAAGACCACGATTTAAAAGGAAAACACACCTATTTAAACCGTCATTTTTCAAATGATAATAATCGTTATTATTCCTTTCGTTCTTAATTGCCACTTTCGTCTTAGTTGTTTTTAAAAAATTTCCATCACTCGTACTTCAACAGAAACGTTTTGTTGTGATTAAGCAAACTGACAGTCTGAAATTTCTTTTGCCTGTTGGCCAACTCTATTTACCCAACTTTTCGGGTTTTCCCCAAGAACAGAACAACAACAATTAAAAATCAAAATTTCAAGCCTTTAAATGTCGACAAACTAATCTGTACATACACCTTATCCAGCTCAATATAGAACATACAGGCCCATCAAAATGTTTGATTCGTCATTAACATTTTTTCTTGAGGGTAGTTCTGTACTTTTTTCTTCCAAGGCGATTATTATTAAGGAGAAATAAATAAAAAATCATTTTTGGCCCTTATTCGCAGCAAAAGAGCCAAAACCAAAAAGTGAATCGTTTTTCTTCCTTGTTTAGACAATAAATAAATATTTAACATAAAGATTTATATATATAAAAAATTTCGTATTAGATAAATTTTTGCAAGAAAGTATTTTTTTTTTGTGTGAGTTGTGTTTGACCAAATTGACCCCCGAGTAAAATCTCGACCGTCTGATTCTGACCTTCGTTAATCATGTTTCTAATAATGTTTTTTTCCGGTCCGTCTAATCTCGCTGTTCTCCCTCGGCCAATTACAAAATTCCACCCGGATCTGTTCGGTTTTTATTTTGTCAATTGTTATTGTCTCGTATTCAGTTTTGAAAAATCGCAGGCTTTTTGTCTAGAAGTGCATGAGGCTTTGCTAGACGAACGAGGATTTCAATAGTAGATCATGATCGATCGGGCACATTTATATATAATAAATTTTATTCTTTCCCCTTGTAATTGAGCTATTTTTATAGAAGAACTGTTGGGTTTGGGATGTATTGATTTTTGTAAACATGCTCGCGATGAATCATAGTCATAGACTTGTATTATTACGTTCTCGAATTGTACGAATTTTTGCCAATTTTTAAGAGGAAAATCGGCCAAATCATTCTTATGATGGATCATTACGATGATCATTTATACAGTAATAGATTCATATCAATCGTCTTCTTCTGCATATTACTTACAGTCCAGCAATTTATACAGAAGAGTTTACATTGTGTTTGGGGATGTATTGATTTTTGTAAACATGCTCATGACGAATCATAGCCATAGACAAGGCAGGATTATCGAGGCTGACATATTTCGTTCTCGAATTGTACAAATTTTTGCTATTTTTTAAAAGGAAAATCAGTTATGATCATGGGTGTAATCATAGATCAAAATCGATTTCCTTTTTCTTCCCGTTAATTATATGCCCGGATTCGAGACAGATCATTTTTTTCTGGATTTTTTGAATGGAAATCATAAAAATCTTACTGATCATGTGATGTAAAGATGTCCACGATGTATCATTACCATAGACAAGCCAGAATTATGGAAACAAAGCATTTGTCCTTTTTTTCTGGAATTTTTTTCTTTTGTCAATGGAAATCATAAACATCATACTTCTCATGATGTCACGTCATGTTGTTCATATACAATAACCAATGACAAGCCAGAATTATCGGGACAAATTATTTTTCTGGTTTTTCTAGTTCCTTTCTGGAATTTTTGGCCTTTGTAAATGAAAATCATAAATATCATACTGATCATGATGCATGTCATGATATCCGTGATGTACATTAACCACAGACAGGATTATGGAGACAAACCGTTTTTCATGTTTGTTTCTAGAATTTTTTTTTGCTTTTGTCTATGGAAGTCCTAAAAATTATGCTTATCATGATGTCCATGATGTATCATAATCATAGAAAAACCAAGATTATCAAGATAAACCGTTTTTCAAGTTTCTTTCTCGAATTTTTCTCCCTTTGTCAATGAAAATCATAAATATCATACTGATCATGATGTCCATGATGTCCATGATGTATCATAACCGTAAAAAAACTAGGATTATCCAGACAAACGGTTTTTCATGTTTCTTTCTAGAATTTTTTTTGCTTTAGTCAGGGAAATCCTAAAAATCATACTGCTCATGATGTCCTTGATGTACAGTAATGATAGACAAGCCAGGATTATCGGGACAAAGCATTTTTCTCGTTTCTTTTTGGAATTTTTTGACTTTTGCCCATAAAAATCATAAAAATCATACTGCTCATGATATTCGTGATGAACAGTAACGATAGACAAGCCGGGATTATCGGGACAAAGCGTTTTTCTCGTTTCTTTCTGGAATTTTTTGACCTTTGCCCATAAAAATCATAGAAATCATACTGCTCATGATGTTCGTGATGTACAGTAACTATAGACAAGCCGGGATTATCGGGACAAAGCGTTTTTCTCGTTTCTTTCTGGAATTTTTTGACCTTTGCTCATGAAAATCATAGAAATCATACTGCTCATGATGTTCGTGATGTACAGTAACGATAGACAAGCCAGGATTATCGGGACAAAGCATTTTTCTTGTTTCTTACTGGATTTTTTTGGCCTTTGTCAATGAAAATCATAAAAATCATACACACGTTGGATCATTGCGATAATCGTCGGCACAGTTACACTTATTCAATCAAATTTATCCTTCTGTTTGTAATTATAGTTCTGTCATTCTCAAAGAAGCGATGTTGTGTTTTTGTACTGGTTTTTGTGATCATTTCCATTATATACACAGACATGATTGTCTAGTTAAAGTAATATTATTGTTTCTTTCTCACGTCTAATATTTTCATTGTAGTAAAGAGCTTTTGACCTTTTATAACGAGACCTATGATGGATCAACATAAATCAATCTTTGGGACTTTGTTATTCGAGATGTGTGGAAGTTGTAATACTCCAAATATCCATAAGCATGATTTTTTTCTTCTGATTCTTAAGCTGTTCTTAAACTTCAGTTTTATTTTAAATTTTTTAATCTGGTTTGACTTTCAAATCTTTCGTAACCCGTTATGGATCTGGCATCGATGGCGGGGATAAGCGCGCCAGCGCACTGCGAAGCCAGACGCACCAGTCGGACCAAGAACGGTGTCAAGCACCGTGCAAACAGAAACAGAAGAAAGAAAAAAGTGTGAAGTGTGTGAACGTACGGTTCTAGAATGCTGACACAGCTTTCGATCCCAATCAGGAACAAGGACAGGCCAGATACCCTTCGTCCTAGGTCCGACCGGAGTCATTCGCTTATCCCCCCGCGGGTTTAAAATTAAAACGGTTCTAAATCCGAACGGGTCGACGGCCTTACATGTCAATCCTTAATATTTTAATTCGACGGAGCCTGAAACATCTCTGAGGATCTCGAGCCCAACAAATCCCAAGGTAAACCAGACCTATCTTCAACCATTAGATAACTCGACAAACTCTGATAGCGTCTGAATGCAAAGACGTGCGAAAATATCATATTTCTTTTATTTCAACTATTGCTTATTATGTACTTAACCGATAAACCTAGGCCGGAAAGATTCCCATTGCTTCTCTTTCTAGAGATAAATTAGGCCAATAGACTCGGCGATGGAATTTCTCAAGTTCTACTTTCACTTTTATTCAACTCACTCCTTTTTTCAACAAACTCAGACTTATTTTTATTACATTTAACAATATATTACTTTTTATAACTTAAAAAATATTGTACACACTGGTATTGTTTAATTTTTAAAATCTATAAAACAAATCTCAAAAGAAACTACAGAAAAATGTTCAAAGAATATGTTATTTTAATAGTTTCAAAAGTTTCTAATAATATATATTTTCTAATAAATTCATTTGTTGCTAGTGTTGCTAGTCCAATCAATAATTTTTCTGTTCATTTCAAACATCCAGTATTTATTTTAGAGCTTGAAATAATTATTTTGTCGCTCCAGCAAAAAAAGAGACATTTGGTAATAATTACATGTTTTTTCTTTCACATTCGTTTTGACAAAATTACATCAATATAGATGAATCATTTATTACCTGCCCAATAGTTTTTTTTTTAAATTGAAAACCTCTAATACCCTTTTTTAGGGGTTGATTAATAAATTTATTCTTTGTATTTGAAACATTCGGTACTTATTTTAGAGCTTAACATAATTAATTTGTCCCTCTGGCGCCTCTAAAAAAGACACTTGGTGATAATGATGTGTATTTTTTTTCATTTTCGTTTTTACACATTTACAGTAATATAGATGAATTATTTATTACATGCCCAATAATTTTTTTAAAAATTTAAAACCGTTAATACCCTTTTTTGTCTCCCCGGTATCGCAAAAAAATTGTGATATTTACATGATTTTTGTCTCTCTCTCTCTCTCTCTCTCTCTCTCTCTCTTTTTCTCTTTCTCTTTCTTTCGTTTTTACAAGTTTACATCGATATAGATAAGTCATTTATTAGTCATGCATTTTTTTAGAGGTTGACATAATTTGCGGCTCCGGTATTACCAAAAAAATGCATCTTTTCTTGGTAATTTACATGTTGTCTTTACTGTCCCTCGTGTTTTTACGTAGTTTATCAATGTAGATGATTCAAATATTTATTATTTGCATTTGAAACATTCAATACTTTTTTTTGAGCTTAACATAATTAATTTTCCCTCTCCGGCATCTCCAAAAAAGACACTCGGTGATGATGATGTGTATTTCTTTCAAGTNTTACGTTTTTTATCAATGTAGATGATTCAAATATTTATTATTTGCATTTGAAACATTCAATACTTATTTTAGAGCTTAACATAATTAAATTTCCCCCTCCGGCATCTCCAAAAAGGTTACTTGATGATGATGGCTTGTATTTCTTTCACTTTCGTTTTTACAAATTTACATCAATATAGGTGATGCATTTATCACCAGTTCAATAGTTTTTCTTTTCATTTTAAACCTCCAATACCAATTTTAGAACTTGAACATAATTAATTTACCAATTAGGCATTATCCAACACATTCCTTTTCCAAAAAACTCAGACTTATTTTTATTACATTTAACAATATTTAACTTTTTATAACTTAAAACAATATTGTACACACACTAATGTTATTATATTTTTAAAATCTATAAAACAAAACCCAAATGAAACTCCGGAAAAAAATAATATTTTTTGAACATTGTAAATTATAATCTAAGTATACTGTCGGATTTTTTCTGGAAACAATCTTGACCAATAAAAAAGAATAAAAATATCAAAAATCTATATTTTTACAAGTAGTAAATACACTTAGACGTAATCGTTTTTTAAGTAAATATTAATGAAGATTCTACAGGGCTTTAAGAGGCCGATTTTTTTAATAAATATTCGAAAGTCGACCCCCCAAAACTTTTAATTGAACATTCGCGGTATTCCACTTAAGAGATAACGGAGGGAGATATCCGCTGTTATCACGTGCGATGTGTTCTCTCTCTCGCAGAAATTTCGGCCTTGTCCAAAATTTTCTATGAGATTCGTCAACTGGGCGGAAGTTTTGGAGAGGTCGAGCCACAGAGTCGCCAAATTCAACCGCTCTCGCTAACAGCCCAAATATTGGGTTTGTACAGTAACAATTTGAAAATTATTTTCCCGTAAACGGACTCAGTTAAATTGCAATGATTAAATCCTTAGGTAAAACGCTTTATCAATGAGCAGGCAGAATTTCCCTAGATTAAAAAAAAGCTGAGCTTTTTTTTTTTCCCTCACAGTCGGCAAAAATTATTGCTCTTTGACATTATAAGCCCTTTTATAAATACGTTTTCACATTATCTTCTAAGAAAAATAAATAAAAATGAATCAGGGGAAATTTAGGTTTAAGGAATTTTTCGTTAAGAACTTTTTTAATGTTGGCTGAAATTTGTTTTCTTTAAGTTTTTTTAATAATTATTTAATTATTATATATACAAAAGTCAATATTGATTTTTTTGTACTTGAAAAGCCGTTAAACCTAGGATTAAAAAAAAACCAGCATTGTTAATGGAACCTGCCAGGACTGATCACATTAGCTTTCCATCCGCACCAGATTACATTTCCATAAGAAAAATTCCAATATTGGTTTGTTTTTACATTTTCGAAATCCCATTGACTTGTTAAAAAAAGACAAAAAAAAACAGGTCGTGACACATTATTCAACCGAAAATTCATGAGAAACATGAGATTTCTGTACTTTTTCCTGAATACGGACGTTGATCATGTCAGCCCACGTGTAGCACGTGCATTGAATATTTTGGAATTTCTAGCCAGTACTGGTTACGAGAAACCTGCCAATACTGGTACTTAACATGATTTGGGGTTAGGAGGTTTCAACACCTTTGTCGTTCAACGCGAACTTCTTAGAATGGGAAACCTTAGGTAAAGGCAGTAGGGATGGATCGAAAGTATGGTTTGGAACTTCCGGATGCTTTGTCAAATGGATGGTGACGTTATGGATAGTGACATTAGTGACGTAGTAAGTTTGGACATTTTGAGGATAATTTGACGGCTTGGCATAACTCCATAGTTCCACTCCTTATGTCCAAAGCGTTCGCAGTAATTTCTTGTAAAGAGCTAGTTTTGTTTTGACAGTCGAGACAGATTTCAGTTCTAAAAGTCTTAATACTTGGATAAATCTAACGTTTATATCTCTCTTAAATCTCGTAATGGTACAAGGCTGGGGGTGGATGTCGGTACCTCCTAGTTACTGAGGTACAGTAGAGGGCAAGACTGTTTTTTCATTCTTTCTCCACTTTGGGCACCTTTTGAGAAGATCAAGGTGTTCTTGGATGTTGGAGATTGTTTAGGTCGGATTCCGCCAAGAAGACAGAATGGGCTGTCATCCGCGTAAGGATGTGAAAGTCAGTATTGGAACAGACTGGGTTTTGTTTAATCTAATTTTTACATAAAACATTTCAATCAGATACTTCAAAGATTATCGCCTATTATCACTTAGGTTTAAATTGAATTAATTGCCTGTTATCAACTGAAAAAAAATTGAATTATGTCCAACCCTTTTATCAAACGCGATACAATGTGCTTCCTGTTAATCCAGTCCAAAAATATTTACTTTTCGTTTGCGACAAAAAATCAAGGGAATCAATTTAAGTGCTTTAAAGGGTGGTTAAAACGAATCCGAATTGCTTTTTTCAAAAACACATTTTTTTGCCTACTTTACTGGATAGGTTTTTCGTATTTGTCATCTTTTCTATACGTAATCTTATTTAAGACAATCCTGCTTATTACTGTCTTATTGTAGGTAGAAAAACAAATTAATTGCCTTAAAGTCGGGCTTACCGCTATTGTCTTTGTGTGCTCTTTCTTTGGAAAAAAAGTTACATTACTCCCGCCTGGTCAAATATTACAGTAACTTTTCACTTTGTCTGGCCTCGTCCCTTCCTGTGGGTCACAGCAGTGACCTAGATAATCTATAAAAAAAGGATGCGATTACTCATTGTTTTCCTGTACAAAAAGGATGTTTTGTTTGTCAAAATTAATTAACGTTAATTAACTATCCGAATTCTAAAACATGATGAAATCTGTTTTGGTTGTCATGAGGCATAATCGCAAAATATATACGTTTCTACGTATCTAAATCGGATGATTCATATATTGCTAGACCAATAATTTTTCTCTGTATTTCAAACCTCCAATATTTATTTTAGAGCTTGAAATAATTATTTTGTCGCTCCAGTCCAAAAAAGACACTTGTGATTACATGTTTTTTCTTTCACTTTCTTTTTTACAAACTTACATCAATATAGATAAGTCATTTATCGGCTTACCAATAGTTTTTTTAATTTAAAACCTCTAATACCCTTTTTTAGAGGTTGGCATAATTAATTTGCTGCCCCAGTGTCGCCAAAAAAGAGACTCTTGGTGATATTTACATGATTTTTCTCTCCCACTTTCGTTTTTACAAATTTACATCAATATAAATAAGTCATTTATCGGCTGTCCAATAGTTTTTAATTTAAAACCTCTAATACACTTTTCTAGAGGTTGACATAATTCATTTGCCGCCTCAGTATCGCCCAAAAAGAGACTCTTGGTGATATTTACATGAATTTTTTTTCTCTCTCTCTTTCGTTTTTATAAGTTTACATCAATATATATAAATCATTGATCGGTTGTACAATAGTTCTTTTTTAAATTTCAAACCTTTGATGAATTTTTTTAGAGGTTGACATAATTTGCGGCCCCGGTATTACCAAAAAAATGAATCTTTTCTTGGTAATTTACATGTTGTCTTTACTGTCACTCGTGTTTTTACGTATTTTATCAATGTAGATGATTCAAATATTTATTATTTGCATTTGAAANTTTGAAACCCCAATACTTTTTTTAGAGGTTGACTTAAATAATTTGTCCGGCATCGCCATAAAAAAGAGACACTTTGTTGTTTTCTCACTCCCGTTTTTACTTATTTATTCAATATACAGATTATTCATTTATCTCCTGCCCAATAGATATTTTTTTAATTTTGAAACCCCAATACTTTTTTTAGAGGTTGACTTAAATAATTTGTCTGGCATCGCAATAAAAAAGATACACTTTGTTGTTTCCTCACCAGTGTTTTTATTTATTTATTCAATACAGATTATTCATTTTTCTCCTGCCCAATAGATTTTTTTTTTAATTTGAGACCCCAATACTTTTTTTAGAGGTTGACTTAAATAATTTGTCCGGCATCGCCATAAAAAAGAGACACTTTGTTGTTTTCTCACTCCCGTTTTTACTTATTTATTCAATATAAATTATTCATTTATCTCCTGTCCAATAGTTGGTTTTTTTGAAACCTCAATAGTTTTTTTTTAGAGGTTGACTTAAATAATTTGTGGACTCCGGTATCTCCAAAAGCAAGAGACCCTTTTTGATAATTATATGTTTTTTGTTTCCAATTTCGTTTTTACAAATTTACATACGAATATATTTGAACCATTTATTGCCAGCCCAATAATTTTTCTTTTCATTCCAAACCTATATATAAATTATATAAAAATGCTTAATTAATTATTCGTTATTACCTTATAATATTATTATAATAAAAGATGATAAAACATGCTTTGGTCGTCTTGAGGCTTAATCTCAAAATACCTTGTTCCTTGTTCTTCCGATTAGACATAGTTCACGGATTTTCCGGCTAATTTAAAAGACAAAGAGACATTTAAACCTGCCTGGGCTTTGACAAAAGTCTCACTAGGCAAATGATTCAGTTTAATTGAATAGTGATAAAATTTATCCCGTCGTGCGACCTGGGATTTGCCAGAAGTTGCCTTTGATTACAGAATGAACTCGACCTCTTTCGACGAAACCCTGTTCGACTGGGCCGAGTATTCGGTCTTCAGCCTGATGCTGGCCACGTCTTCAGTGATCGGACTCTACTTCGGCTGCTTCAAGCAGCAGGACTCCGTCTCGGAGTACCTACTCGGTGGAAAGCGGATGGGCATGGTGCCTGTGGCCGTCTCACTCGTCTCGAGGTGAGTAAAAATTAAAATTTACTCTATGTTATAAAAGAGCACATCCTCTCAATATAAAGACTTTTTTTTAAGGTTAAGTTGTCTCTAAGGACGAAAGTGTCTGTAAAAATAAGATATTTTTAAATTTTTTATCATTGCTAAATATGTTGTTTCTCTCATTGAAAAATAAGTCGTCAAATCGTTTTACCTAATCTTCAACTTGACCCTGACTTTTAAGTTGTTATGCGTATTTCTACCAGTTTTAACTACTTCATTTCTACTGTGTTATTATATTAAAAAAAAGAAACTTACCTATCCTTGTTACTATGCAAGACATTTCTTCCCACTCCTAGTAAGATCACCAAGAATTTAAAACCTAGCCCTGTCAAATTTAACAATCTTCGGCTTCAAAAGGCGAACTATTGACTCGTTAAGAAGAATCAGCCGATTAACTGAGCTTAACAAATTGGTCAATTGGTCAATTCGTGATAGTTAAGAGACTATCACTTCGAATTGAAACGTCCGATAAAAAAAACCGGTTAGTTAAAATTCGCGTAAAATGTTATTTTAAACAGTCGTCGAGGAGAAAAGAGCCGGCGAGAGTTGTAAACCGTCTTTTATATTACAGTTTATAAAGTAATTGACCGCGATAAAGAGTGAAATTGAAGAATGTGCGGATGTGGCAGAGGGCGTATTTTTTTAAAGCTTAGTTTGCCTTCTTACTCGCGTTTTTATTTTGATCGTCATAAAACATTAATTGAGCTTGTTTTTTTGAAGGAAATAAAAATATTTACTGATGTAATCTATTGTGGGTGGTATCGCAAAACGCGTGCTGATAATTGTTTTTTCTTACACTTAATTTTTTTTTACAAATTGAATATCGATTATTTATTTATCGCATGTACGAAAGATTTTTGCATTTAACACCTTCAACACTTATTTTAGAGGTGGACATAATTAATTTTTATCGCTCAAGAATGATACAATTGGTGACATTTAAATATTTTTTTTTCAAACACTCAACTTTTTATGTATTTAAATCCATATTTATTATAGATATTTATCGCTTATCTAATAGTTTTTCGTTTATTTCAAGCCTCCGATTTTTTTTTTGAAAATTGTCTTAATTAATTGGTTCCTCTTGTATCGCAGAAAAAAGAGAAACTAGCTGATATTTACGTAGTTTTTCTTTTTTTACAGTACACCAATGTAATTAATTCATTTATCGCTTGTCCAATAGTTTGTCATTTATTTCAAGCCTCCAATACCTTTTTTAGAATGTTGGCATAGTTAGTTGGTTCCTTTTGCATCGCAGAAAAAAGAGACACTAGCTTATATTTACGTAGTTTTTCCTTTTTTTTTACAGTGCAGCAATATAATTGATTCATTTATCGCTTGTCCAATAGGTTTTCGTTTATTTCAAGCCTCCAATACCTTTTTTAGAAGGTTGGTATAATTAATTTGTTCCTCTTGCATCGCAGAAAAAGACACTAGCTGATACTTACGTAGTTTTTTGTTTTTTTTACACTACTGCAATATAATTGATTCGTTTAATTCTTGTCCAATAGGTTTTGTTTGCATTTCAAACCTCCATTACTACTTCTGTAGCTTGTCATAATTTGTCGAGAGTTTTAGAGGTTGTTCATGTGCTCTTTTATCCCAGGATTACCAAAAAAATACGTTCTAAAGGGATCACAAGGGTTCTGCACCTGGCGTTAGGCTGTATTTTTTTTGTTTTAATAGAAAATAAACGCTCTTTTTCAGCTATATATCTGGCGTGACACTCCTCGGCGTCCCGACGGAAATTTACACATACGGGACGCAGTTTTTCCTCGCCAACGTGACCAACGCGTTCGTCGGAGGCGTGACGGCGACCCTTTTCCTCCCCGTTTTTTACAAGCTCCAGCTCGTCTCGCTGTACGAAGTAAGTTTGTCTAAAATTTTGACTATATTTTTAATAATTAATAATCGATTTAAAAGAACAATTATATAAACTGACAGGCAAAAAATTCTACCCATTTGTAATATAACTTGATTTGTATATATGTCAGTAGTATCAGGATGGACGGGCTGTTATTCGTCTTTTGAGGCTATTCCATAAATGTTCGATGAGGTTCAAGTCTGGAGAACGGGCTGGCCAGGCTGAAACCCTGTTGTTATGCTGTTGAAGGTTTGTACTATGCGAGCGACATGTAGACGGGCATTGTCGTGCATTAGAATAGGATTGTCGCTGATTTAATCGAGGATAGGCAACGCATGATGATCCAAAAGACCATCCACGAACAACGACCAAATCTATGCGACTCTCCATTGAAATTTCCGCCCACATCATCACTGAGCTACGTTGTAAAGGTCGGCTCTGGGAAAAACTACAGGTTTCGTACCTTTCATTCGCCTTATCCACACTCTTTCACGCCAATCTGAAGATCTTAGAGCAAATCTCCACTGTAAAAGTGTGAAAAGTGTCCAAAGACCAATGGCTGTGTTCTCAAGCAAATGGGAGCCGTGCAATTTTGTGTGTTCTTGTCTGGTTCTCTTACGGGGCGAAAAGTCATCAGTCCATACTGATTTTATCTTCTTTGAGCGGTGCGTTCAGAAATTTGGTCACCTCGAATCTCCTGTGCGGTTTCGCAAAATTCTCAAACTCAAAAAACGGTCATCCTGTAGTTCTGTTACCCTAGGGCGTCCAGAACCGGTCTATGGTAGGACCCAGTTTCTCAAAAATATTTAACGGCGTCTCGCAGAGTTTCGTAGGTAACTCCGATGGCAATAGCCTCATACCTGATGGAACGCCCATCATCAATATGTGCCAGGGGCCTCAATGGCCGTAACGGTTTAGGCGTTGTTACGGCGCTTAAAGGTCCCGGGTTCGAATCCTGGTACCGGTGTACATCACAAGGCCGAGAGTCATTGAAAGTATGGCGAATATGATGACCCCTATCGTCATTAAAATAATTGAGCTGGAAAAGCCAAAGGTAACAGGAATGTTTTGAACTTTTGAAAATCGAGGACTCACCGGTACGCCTGTCGGTAGGATGAGACGGATATGAACCTCTGAACGACTCCGGGGTTCACGGCCAGCTGGGCCTTCATTCGAACCTGACAAACTTACAAATGTTTTTTTTTTTTTTTTTTTCAAAAACACCTTCATCCTGAGGGTTTATATGACCTCTGCTGTTGCGAACCCTCGTAAAAAAGTCCCACATCATACCCAACATCCTCAACACTAAGTGGCATTTTTAAGTTTAAAAATTGAAATTAAGAAAACAAAGTTGAAAACTAAACAGTTTATTGCTTCAGAATTCAAATCAGACTGAATAAACATCATAAATTCCGTAAAAAGTAAACATTGAAAAATCTTTTATCCTTGTTTTGGAATAAACATACACACTTATTTATTGGTACAAACAATGGGACAAATTAAGGGTAGAATTTTCTTTTATCGAGAAAATGAAAAAAAAAATCAATTGGATGGAATTTTTTACCTGTCAGTGATATATTTTTTTTGTTTAAATCTCTTAATTAGTTTTAATTAAACTTAAAAACATTGAATACGATGAAGATATATTTTTTCTTTTTGAATCCCTTTTAACATGGTCTGTGAATTTTTATCTAATACTTATTTGGAGATCGTGAGATGCGGTCTGGTGTGACGTAGGTTTACAAAAACATTTGCCAACGTTTCGACCTTTATTGAGATCATCTTCAGGGCTTAAAATGTTTGTTTTCCGTAGATGTGTCATTCTTTTCTATTGTGTTGAGAGTGTCGAGTCGCGGGCAACATCTACACGGAAAACAAACACTGAGCCCTGAAGATGATCTCAATAATGATCGAAACGTTGGCACGATAAAGAAAATGATTTTGTAAAACTTCACGATCTCCAAATAATCATGGGCTAACGGTCACTAAACACGACACATTTATCTAATACATTTCTCTTGTTTTGTTTTTTTAAGTACCTGGAGAGAAGATTTAATTATAAAATCAGAGTTATCGCATCACTGCTGAACGCTTTATCACTGGTTAGTATGGGAACAAACACAAATCTTTGTCGTGCCCACGGGGTACAATTAATAAAATAAATAAATAAATTACAGATAACCTTTGTACCGATTGTAATATACGGACCAGCACTGGCATTTAACCAAGGTAAGGATTTGGGTCTTATTTATGGGGGCGGTTTTGTCGGAAACACTCGTACGATTTTTTTCTTGTCTTTTGCCACTAAACTGGTCTTTTATACCAAGATTTACAAAAAATGTTTTAACAAGAAGATTTAAAAAAAAATTCAAAAAGGGGGCTCAATAAATTCGAATTGATTTTCACCCTGTCTATAGAATTCGGCCAAAATTTTAAAACACAACTTTTATTCGTTTTCTTACGGCAATTCCTTTCAGATCTGCTTATTTTCGCAAACGTGATATTTTATGGTCGCACGGTTTCTGGTCGATTTCGTTCTGATCCAATTTTAAGCGTTTTAAATCGTTTTTCTGGACCTGAAGGCCGTCCGTGGTCCGCTCATCCTCGTCCTGTTCAGTTTCTAGCAAGGCTGAAGCTATTATTGGTAAACATATATTTGTTTTTTTTTCTTTCGTACCTTATAATTGTACGGATTTAGGAGAGAATTGACCACTTACAAGTGGTTACATTCACGAAATGAGAAAATTTCCGCGAATATTCTATCAGGTCAAAAAATAAAAAAAATTAAAAATCAATTATAACTATGTGAAATAACATTTTTTTAGAAGGGTGTGTTATTTTTTAACTATAAGTTTTTTTTTAATCAACAACAGTTGATGTCAATTTATACTATTTTATTTTCCTTCAAGGGCCAAAAAGTTTATGATGGAGGGCTAGAAATAATTTAAAAATTTTACAAAATTTGTCTGCCTTAAAAACAATTAACAAATTAAAGCAAAATGACATATTTTTTTTGTCGTTTGCAGTGTCTGGAGCGAATATACATATAATAACTGCCGTCCTATGCGCCGTTTGCATATTCTACACCACTTTGGTAATTAAATTTTATGCTTTTTTTAAAGCATTTTATTAATTTTTTTAAATGTTCAAGGGTGGCTTACGAGCTGTAGTTTGGACGGACACCCTTCAGGGATTTCTGATGCTTTGTTCTGCCATAGCAGTCCTCGTCCTAGGGTTCAACAGCGTCGGGGGCTTCACGAAGGTCCTCGACGCTGCTCAAGAAGGAGGAAGGATCGAGTTCTTAGTGTAAGTGGACAGAAAAAGCGGTTCAAAAGAGCAAAACAGAACGAAACATATTGTAATTTATATAATTATCGATTAATTTGCTGAATGACAATGACAAGACATGAAAAAATGTTTTGTTTATTCAGAACCTCATCACTTAACAGATTTTTAGTTGTTAGGCAAAATGAGGCGTGAACAATTTTTTTTCGTTTGTTTTCAGAATGGACCCTGATCCTACGTTGAGGATGAGCTTCTGGTCGGTGACTTTCGGCCTTTTTTTCACCTGGACGGCCCAGCTGGCCGTGAACCCCGGAGTCGTCCAGAGGTTCATATCCGTCTCATCGTACCGACAGGCGTACCGGTGAGTCCTCGACTTTCAAAAGTTCAAAACATTCCTGTTACCTTTGGCTTTTCCAGCTCAATTATTTTAATGACGATAGGGGTCATCATATTCGCCATACTTTCAATGACTCTCGGCCTTGTGATGTACACCGCGTACCAGTCTTGCGATCCTTTGACGGCTAAGGTACCATTTTGCTAGTTATTGACGTTTGGATTATTACAAATTTTTTGTTTAAATTAAAAGATTATATCGAGGAGAGATCAGATCCTTCCGCTTTTCGTCACAAACGTGGCCAAGCAAGTGAGAGGTCTTCCTGGATTGTTCATAGCCGGCATTGTGAGCGCGGCTCTCAGCACCATGTCGACGAGCCTGAACACGATAGCCGGCACTGTGTTCGAGGACTTCATCTCTCCCTTTTTGCCTCCAAAGATCAGGGAAGAGTACGCCGGGAAGATCATGAGGATCATAGTCCTCGTGACCGGCGCCATATGCGTCCTCATGGTCATGGTCATCGAGAACATGGGACAAATTCTCGAGGTGAGTGGGTTTCACGATATTAATCAATATTAAACTAATACTGTAAAATTTGAACATAACTTTTTTTTAGATGGCTTCAAGTTTCGGAGGTGTCACGACAGGAACATCGCTTGGGATCTTCATCCTCGGAATTCTTTTCCCATGTGCCAATACACCTGTAAGTTATATTTAACTTAATAAATCCATTATATTTCGTGGTCCGATTGACCAAATAACTTCTTTCAATTAATTAATCTTTCTGTAAGGTAATGGTTGAAATGAAAAAGTCATTGTCACGAGCGGGATTCGAACCCACGACCTTGAGCTATCGCGACTTCAGAAGTGGTAGAGCAGCGGCGTGTTTAGCAGAAGGTCGTGGGTTCGAATCCCGCTCGTGACACTGACTTTTTCATTTCAACAAATCCTTTATATAAAGATTATTTATCTTAATATTTCGAATAATAAACCCAAAAAATAAGAAAATAATGTTTAAACAAATTTAAATAAAAATCAAAGATTCTTATATCATTCAGATCCTTTCATCTTTGACTAACAACCTTGCAATAATTTTTAAAGGTAAATTCTAATATTAAAACTTCCATTTTCAGGGTGCCTTTGTAGGTGGGTTGTTCAGTATAAGTCTGATGACCTGGATCATGGCAGGTAATCAAGTGGCAGCTGTCAAAGGACTCTTGAAGTATCCTGTCAAACCGATGAGGGTAGACGGCTGTCAAAGCTTCGTAAATTTAACCAGGTAACATACCGAAAGCCTTATTTTGAACAGAAAGCAAAACTTTTCCCCATGTCTATATAACGTCTAGAAATAAATCTATACGGACGGAACGTGATCTTAGGGAGCTGAAATATTTCCGGAAATCGTTATCTTTAATATTCGAAATACAAAGGGAGAAACGTTTTAAAAACATCTTTTCTTCAATTGTTTTCAGGATAATTTGTTTTCTATCTTCGACATTAACACCACAGATCACGTAACGTAAACTTACATTTTGTTTTGCACCAAGCATTAGGTTTTTCTTTATGTTTTTTTAAAAATCACCTTCAAAAATTATATGCATTTAAGTTGTATTTATCGACTGCATAATGTAAAAAATAAATTGGACCGCCCAGCATTTGATCTAATTCAAAACTATACAACTCCGAACAAGAAAACCACAAGATGTTTCAAGAGAGTTAGAAAATAATTGAAGCGATATTTTATAAAATAATTCACCAGTTGGTGGTTGTTTTTAGCGAGAACAACCGATGAAATTTGAACAACCAACTAGAAAAGCTCTTAGTGAACTGCTAATTGCAGCTGGACAACAACTGCCACATCTCCTGGACTTACGATCCTTAATTAAGAAGTCATTCTGACTCGGAGAGTACAAATTGTGTATTGCCTCATAACGAATGACTAAATGACTTTGAAGTGCTTTCAGTTAACTGCTACTTGCAGGTTGACTACTGCTATGACATCTACTAGACTTACAGTCAATAGTACGGAAGATAAATTGACTCGTAGCTTGCAAATTGCCTATTTCCTCTTTACCAGAGATGACTAAACGAATTTGAAAAGCTTTTAGTGAGCTGCTACTTGCAGATTGGCTACAGCTGTGACATCTAGTGGACTTACAGTTCATAGTACTTAAGACAAATTGACTCGCAGCGTGCAAATTGCCTATTTTCTCTTAACCAGAGATGACTAAATGAGCTTGAAAAGCTGTTAGAGAACTGCTAACTGCATACGGGTAATAGCTTTGACATCTAATGGACTTACGGTCCATATTACCGAAGGCAAAATGACTTGGAGCGTGCAAATTGTCTATTTCCTGTTAACCACGAATGACTAAATGACCTGGAAGTGCTTTTAGGGAACTGCTACATTCAGGTTGATTACAGCTGTCATATCCATTGGACTTCATACTGGAAGTCATACTGATTCGGAGCGTACAAATCGACTGATGCTTCTTAACAGGAAATGACTAAATGACCTTGAAGAGTTTTCTTACTTACCTTTAAAATTGTCATGCCTAGTCGTATTAATCAATTTTATCATACTTCCCTAGAGGATTTTATAACTTTGACAAATTGGGCAGTTTTACAAGTTTCAATATTTTTTTCAAGAAAAGCTCAACTTTGTGTACTTATGTACAAAACATGTATTTATGTGTTTTTCATGTTGCAGCATGGCCAGCGTGGAAGCCGTTGAACAGGTATTCTGGCCATTCAGGATTTCTGTTTTTCACTACGGTCTCATCGGCTGTTTGAGCGTCCTAGTGATCGGCATCCCCGTCAGCCTCCTGACACCTGGAATCAGGCCGAAGACGAACCCCGAACTCTTTTCGCCTTGGGTGCGCCGGTGGCTCCCTGAGGATGGCGAAACCTGCAGCATCCCCCTGGATGAACAGCACACCGAGTACAAAACAGCCTAAACTTCCAACCTAGATTATTTTTCTACATTCTTTTTATACGAGACGTTGAAGAGATTGTGTACTTATTTTATACTGTTGTTTGAAATATATTGTTAACACTATATCGTTTCTTAAAGTATTATAAAACCAAATCAACTCAAAGTTAGCATATTTAACTTTAATATCTGACTTTATTGAAGAATCCTACCTGAGGTAATGAAGTTCTGGGTCATTTAGTCTACCTACCTAAGTATGATAAGTTCACGAGATGTCACAGCAGTTGTCCATGTGCAAGTAGCCTTTCTTTGAAAGCTCTTCAAGGCCATTTGGGCATTTCCTGTTAAGAAGTAGCAGTCGATTTGTACGCTCCGAGTCATTTTGTCTTCCTAACTATCGATCGGAAATTCATGAGATGTCACAGCAGTTGTCCAAATGAAAGTAGCCTTTCTCTGAAAGCTCTTCAACGTCATTTTAGCATTTCCTGTTAAGAAGCAACAGTCGATTTGTACGCTCCGAGTCATTTTGTCTTCCTAAATATGGATCGGAAGTCCACTAGATGTCAAAGCTGTTTCCCTGATGCAGTTAGCAGTTCTCTGAAAGCTCTTTAAGGTCATTTTGGCATTTCCTATAAAGAAGCAACAGTCGATTTGTACGCTCCGAGTCATTTTGTCTTTCTAACTATCGATCGGAAGTTCATGAAATGTAACAGCAGTTGTCCATATGCAAGTAGCCTTTCTCGGAAAGCTCTTTAAGGTCATTTTGGCATTTCCTGTTAAGAAGCAGCAGTCGATTTGAACGGTCAGAGTCATTTTGTCTTCCGAACTAGGGATCGGAAGTCTACTAGATGTCAAAGCTGTTTCCCTGGTGCAGTTAGCAGTTCTCTGAAAGCTCTTTAAGGAAGGTTAGTAATTTATTGTCAAGAAGCAATAGACAATTTCCACATCCAGAGTCCCCAATTAAAGATTCTTCGTCATCTGAATTTTAGTTTTAAAATACACATGTCGCCAATGTTTTATTACTTTGGCTCAATTGCCAAGACGTTGGTAATTTTTTGTGGGGTCAAGTAAGTATTTTACTCCACTGGAACCTCCAGGTTAAGATCAAACCATGGAAATAGGCACTTTTCTCCACAGAGCTTAGCACTTTTGCCAGTCTTTTTAGCGCACTTCTGTAGATGTAAGAATTGTCTTTACTTCCTTTGTTTTATTTAATTTTCCCTTTCTGGGTTTTAAAGGGACAATCTCACTTGATTAAAACAAACTAGAATAGAAGCCAGCAGGTGGAAAAATCTCATTTTCTAACAGATATTAACAGAATTAGGTTTAGCAATCTTGCCAGCTTCGAGGAAATAAAAAAATATTGTTTTCCTGAATAAACTTTAATAAGAATAACATCAAACATATGCATCGTTACAATTATACTATTCACGTATGACTCGGGTATTAGGCCATTTTCAGTCATTTGAAACTTTATTAAAAAAAAATTTCGATTAAAAAATAAAATAAATTTGTCAGTTTCGAGATATTTAGGTAAATTAAACACACTTTTGTATTTTAAGTAATGTCAAATGCAGAGAATAGTGAGTTAAAACAAATGGCAAGAAACTTTGTGAAGGCAAACACAAACATATTTTAAAACACTTAAGATAAATATATTCAAAACGTTTTTTTTAAACTGTAAATATTTAATAGTTGATTTAGTTAAGACATAAAATATTTAATATACACATATTTTCTTTTCATTATTTAATATAAAAGGATAAAATATTAACAATTATTAATCTATATCGTATAATAAAGTCTTACATATTATATATTTTTTTAAATAGAATTTTTATAACTTTTTATATAATTGCACATCAAAATATAACAAGGTTTTCATTTTTTATATTAAAATTTTTTTTTTGTGTGTTTGTGGAAAAATTACTCAGTTTGAGATATTTTTTGTGTGTACGATTTTTACGATACGAAATCTGATTTTAAACGTGATACAAAAATATCTCGGGGCACGCCGGCTTAAATGCTTAGCTAAGTCCCATGTTTTGAAAGATCGCTATATAGCGTCCTCTCCAATTCTAAAATGTCCTAGCGTCTCACTAATGCAAATTCAAAATATCCGTTTCAGACTAATAACTTTTTAAAAATCGTTATTCTTGTTTACATTTATAAGAGGAATTCTTTTTTTTTTTTAATCAATCACAATTGTATTTAAAAGTGCTTTTAAATGTTAAGAATTAAGTGCCTTTACAACATCTCTGATTGAAAATATTTTCTAAAGAATACTAGAGTTCTTTTTTTCTATTCAGTCAACTTGAAAGACTGCAAAGTCTCGATTTAACTCAATTTGTGACAATGGAACGAAATTATTTAAATAAAGATTATTTGAAGATCGTGAGATGCGGTCTGGTAGGTTTATAATTTTTTTTTTAATCGGCCAACGTTGCGAGCATTATTGAGATCTTCTTCAGTGTCCGGGATTTATAAATATTGTTTAAATTACACAAATACATGTAGAATGTGAAAAAATGAATTTATAAAATGATAGAAATTCTTTTTTTCATTTTTTCAATTCAACATGTTTTTTTTGTAATTTAAACAATGTTTATAAATCCCGGGTACTGAAGATGATGTCAATAAAGATCGAAACGTTGCACGATAAAAAAATGTTTGTCAAGACCTACGTCACACCAGACTGCATCTCACGATCCGCAAATAATCATTAATTAATTTGAATTGGTTTTGACTAAATAGAATTAAAAAAAGATTACCCAAGATCAATTTTGATGTTTTCGAAGAAACGATATGATTTTCAGTTTATATAATTTGAATCATTGAAAAGAATGACAGCCGTGTGCCAGATATGTTGTACATTTGATAAAATTCAAATCGCGAAAACATTTTTTTTTAAATCCGAGATTTATGCAGACTTTCTTTAAAAACCCAAGTGCGAGCACTTTATCTCTTGGGAGGTACTTGCGTGGATGGCGGTTGAACGTGCGTGATCACCCCCGAGAGGGGTATGGCCCCGTGTGCGTGTCCAGCGAGGACCGGCGAGTAGTCCTGGCTCGGGGTCGAGTACGCCGAGATGAGAAAGGAGAGGAGGATCATGAGCGCCGAAGCGCAGAGAGCGCCGAGCCCGATGAGGCTGCACAGCTCCAAACGCGAGTTGTACACTAGTGCCTTTCTGTCAAGGTAGGCCAGGGATCCCCTCCGGGCCACAACAGGCTCCTTAGGCGGCATCAACTGGCCTGAAATGAACAAAATATCAAGAAAAACACGTAGTATAAAGTACAGTACTACGTAGTACAAAGTATAAAGTACAGACCGAAAAGTATGGCGATGACTGCTGCGATGAGAAGAGGCACTCCGCACCATATGCACGCCTTGTCCCAAGTGCACTGCTTCCTCGATGATCCGTTCATATAATTAAAATCGCTTTCCTAAAAAAATACAACATGAAAAATACCAAAACAACCAAATAAATAATTATCGATAAATAAATCGAAACGATAAATCAAACTACTTCAATTCTGTCTACCTGACCTACTGTCCTATGTTCAACCTTTACTGATAACTTAAAAAAACATAGTTCAATGACTTGTTCCGGCAATTCATTTTTGGCATCAGATTTTCTTCATTTCGACAGTTTTCCCAACCGTTTTAAACAACTACTAGCTTCCTGCGGTTATTGTCATGGAAGCAATTTTCTTCACATGTGGTTTCTACAAACAGGAGTGAGGGACGGTTTGATGGGTGACCACCGTTCTGATAGACATTTTTCAATTTTGTGACTTCCTTATCAACAACTATTTGTGAAGGTAAAGATAATTCCACTCATTGTTGTATTAACAATGTCCATTACATTTTGTCTGATTAATTATTTCGTTTTCTCTTTTTCTCTCTTTTTTCTCTTTCTCTTTCTCCGGCCCACACACGCTCTGTCTACCAGTTCTCTCTTCGTTTCTCTTTTTCTCTCTCGCTGTCTCTCCCTCTCTCCGTTTTATTAACTTTCTCAAACATCACTCTCTAATTTCTTTCTAGTTTGTACATCTCTATTTCTCTGTTATGTCTTTTCTTTTATTTCCCTATGTCTCTGTCTTTCTCTCTCTCTCTCTCCTTCTATTTTTTCTCAATCAGTAACTCTCTTACATATATATGTACATGGTCTCTTTTTTTAATGACTCTCTCCGTTTTATTAACTTTCTTAAACATCACTCTCTATCTCTTTCTATCTTGTACACCTGTTTTTCTCGATTTCCCTTTTCTCTCTCTCTAACTCTCTCTTATATCTCTTTTTATTTATCTCTCTCTTTCTCTCACTCTCTTTCTAGTATTCATCTTCTAATTTACTTTTCTTCTCTCTCTCATTCTCTCTCTTTTTCTCGCGCTCTCTCTTTAGTATTCTTCGTCTAATTTAGTTATCTTCTTTCTCTCTCTCTCTCTCCCTCTTTCTCTCTCTCTCTCTCTTTCTCTCTCTCTCTCTCTCTCTCTCTCTCTCTCTGGTAAGTATTGACCAAATTCTGCGACATTAAACAAAACCGCATTCATTTATTTATTCATTCTCTCTCTATCTTTCTCTAGATTATTCCTCTTATAAATCACTTTTTTCTTACTTTCTTTCTTTTGTTTTCTTCTCTTTATTTCTCTTTCTCACTCTTTTATTAATCTTTTAAATAATCTTTTTATTACTTCATTATTATCTTTTCCAAACAAATAACTTTGTTTAAGTTGACTATTTAATTGATAGTTTACCTTGTAAAGTTTAATAATTACCAATTACTTCCAGAAAATGTGAAACCCGATTTATTTGTAGTGAAAACTCCCTCACCCTCATCCGACCACTGAGGAAGTTAGAGCAAGTTTATTATTCATCGGAAGTTCGGCATGCTTAGAATTTGTTCGATCACCCCGCAAGTATTCTATCCTCTCGAGGGGCCAGTCATATTGAAAATATGTCCATAATCACTTTGTCGTTCTATTTATGAAGAGGTAAAAGTAAATTTGGGTAAATTTTAGAAATATTTGTTGTTTCACAGTGATGAGAACGGACAACATGTGAAAAATTCCATCAGTGGGATAGGTTTTGTCGAATATGGCCCATGTAATAAGTTAGTCATTTTGAACCGTTGGCCTTTTGAAGCAAACCCTGAAGCAAAATCCTATTAAAAAAATAATGAAACCCTTAAAGTTTTAATGCTGCTTAACAATAAAAAAACAAGGCTTTTCTGCTTTACAGTCTTTTTTAACGCCTTAATCGTAGTGGGATACTGAGCCCGCACGGCTTACCTGTAATGCATGTTTTCCAAGTACAATAATTTTTTAAATTTCTTCGTACGAATCATACGAAAGAAATTTAAAAAGATTGTCAAGAGAGGATGGGAGCCTCTGGCTAGTACTAAACGTATATTTTTTTATTTCTCAGGAATGATGATGGAACTTGGATCGTTTCTGATAAAGAAAAGTCCAAAACATTTGCGAAACATCTCTCCGAGGTATTAAAATCTCATAAGTTAATCGATGCTGAACACGATTAATTTATATCAGATTCACATATGACATTATCTCTAGATCTGCAACCTAAACCAGTAACTCCAAAACAGGTATCAAAGAAATACAGCTTCCTAGAAAAAAATCAATTTGATAAAAGCTGATGTTCAAGAACTTCCCCAAAAGGCCGTCTTTCTGACTTTTTTATTTAACGCAATTTTGAAAACAACACACTTTCCCATACAATGGAAACTTTCTTACATTAAAATGATCCCAAAGCCTCATAAAAATGTAAGCTCCCCCATCATCTTATCATCCTATTAGTTTGTTACCCGTTTCTTCTAAATTATTCCAAAAATTAATTCAAAAAAACAATTATCTCTATTTCTACTTCAAACAACATCTTACCAGACCATCAATTTGACGTTCGAACCCATCATTCTACCACTCATCAACTTCACAGAGTTACTGATTTCAATGTCTCGAGCAAAAATTGTACGCGATCGGAGTGTTCCTAGATTTTTCTCAGGCCTTCGACAAAGTACGGCATGAGAGATTATTATACATATTAAAATTATTTTTACCCCAGGCTATTATCTGATTATGGAATCATACGTTAAGGAGAGATTTTTCGCAGTAAACCAGGGTATAGAGATTTTTGGGATGGAAGTAGTGTTTGGAGGTGTGCGCCAAGGGTCAATCCTCGCTGCGCTGTGGTACACAATATTTATTCCTGATATGCCCACAAATGATAATATCTGGAAGCCAAATTATGTGCGTGGTAGAAGATCTGATAGACATTCAAGAAGATGGGGTTGTATGAGCCAAAGAACGTATTAGGGTAATTGATCGGTAGCTGGATCATCGCTCCGTTGCTTGGAAAATAAGTTGTTTTTGAGTGGCGTGATCGTGCCATGAGGCTTTTTTTGTGAACGGACGGTGTTTCGGACTTGACCTGAGGTTAAGTACCGAACATAGGACTTAGAACTGAAAAAGTTCGTAAAGTAGAATAGAACTTCAATCTGCAGTATGCACATTCCCACTCTCAGGAAATTCTTTTCTATTAGGATTATTCTTAAGGAAAACCTTCCCTTTCTTACAGATCTATTAGTCTTTTGCTTATAATCTGTAAGATTCTAGAAAAACTACTGTTTTCACTAATGAAACAATTTCTCTATATTTGCGAGACTGTCCTGGTGTCTTCCTGGCTTCTGTATCAACTCACCTCGGATAAAGATTTTCACTAATTTACAAAATTTCTTACATGGATTTTTATCTACTTCCTTAGTCTCATTCTACATAGACTTCATCAGTTTAGTAGCTCGGTCAGGACGTCAGGTGAGTGACTTTTTAAGCATCTTTGTTGTCCCAATTTAAGTAGGGAAAATGGGCTAACATTTTGAAAATACAACTTCTGGCAATTGTTAAGTTCTAATGTTTTTATTAAGTCTAACAAAACATTTTCTTCAAAATGATACAAGATACCGAAGTTCCAATGGTACTTAATAAACATGGTTTTGCACTGAAATATTTTTCGTTTAGAATCTTCGTTTACGCCTTAATCACTGAGATACTCTAACTTGTAGACTTAGGCGTAACGCGGTCCGTTGAAAATATACTAAATTCAATAATCCGCAATCAATCTAAAAGTTTCCAATCCGTTTTGGTCATCCGATATATCACAAGATAAATAACAGAAAATTCCATATTAAATTTGTTTGCTGACAATTTAGTAATTGCTTACAAGCACCAATGAAATAAAGCGATTTATTTACGTTTTTTGAAAATATTTATTAAAATAATTAATGAGTAAAAATATTATCATTTTATGTTTAAATTATTTATTTAATGAACTGAAAAAGATATCGAACACCGCCCATGAAATCTTCAGCCTGCTCGACTGCCCCGACCCCTATTTCCCGATGAAATCCCCCTAATTAAAAATAATTAATCCTTAATTTACTCCTTAAATTAAAATTGGAAACCCCGTCGGTTGTAATTATAATTAGAATCAAGAGAAAGGGCATAATGGGTTTGCCAAATTCGAGGGAATCCTAATAATGGAAAGTGTCCTAGAATTAGTCGACGAAGTTCCGCTTTTTATTCTTTTTTTGTAGAATTGCAGAATTGCCGTTGCCAACGGCATTCAGCCCTTAATTAGGGTTTAAAAGCACGTTGCATGCTAATTGGTGTTTTTCTCATACTGAAACGAACGAGAATAAACATCCCTCCCTCTTTGAGAGAAAAACAAATAATAATTATTCTTGCATTAATTGATTTGCATTGATATAATATAACATGACGTAGACAAAAGTAACTTTAAAGCCGAATCAAACTTCACCTGCTTAAATTTTGCATAATTAAGTTAATCCCAGGTGAACGTGGGTCAGGATCGATGAAGACATGTCCAACCTCTTTTCTAATCTTTAAGTAAGGTATTCGTTGAGATAAAAAAGTCATTGTCACAAGGGGATTCGAACCCACGACCTTCGGCTAAAATACGCCGCTGCTCTATCATTGCAGAAGGTCGTGGGTTCGAATCCCGCTCGTGACACTGACTTTTTTTATCTCAACCAATACCTTACATAAAGATTTATTAATTGAAAAAAGTTAATTGGTCAATCGAACCACGTACTCTAATGAACTCTTTTCTAATTTTTTCTTTTTATGGGGTTTTGAACATACTTCATACTCATATAAATAATGCACATCATGAACAGCACATAAAACATTTTCAGAAATTTTCAAGACTTATAGAACACAGAAGGTTTTGAAATCTCCCACAGAAGGTCATGGTTGTTTTGACTATTTACAATTGAATCCTACGAACCTCTGGACATAATTCCATAATCACTTTCATACCTAAACTCAACAAACCTCCAAGGAAAATATCCTCTTACATCAATCCTATCCTAACAGAATGGTTGACAGTTTTCTCTCTGCTTTAGAGGAC